CTGGGGTTCATGTCTTAGTGTATTGGCACCATTCTAAAAGTATGCATATTTCTAAATGTTCAGTGTGCTTTAGGTTTTAATGTCAAAGCTAGCAAAGCCCAAATTTAAAAAAAAAAAAATCAAGTTTACATCTGCAATGATTCCTACAGTTTGATTTATAGGCAATAAGCCTATGAATCAAGCATTTCATCCCAAGGTTTGAGTTAAAGGCAGTAAGCCTATTGATCAAGTATTTCAACCAAAGATTTGAGTAATAGGCAAAAAGCCTGTGAATCAAGCATTTCATGCCATGAAAATCAAAAATATGTATTCAAATAAATGCCTGTATACAATGTTGCAACTGTTTAGCATGCATATACCATCCAATCTCTGGCATTATTTATTTCTTATTCCTAACCTTACATCAGCCCAGAAGTATTTTATGATGTGACTTAGTTGCAGTATATACATGCATGTCATTCAAATCAATTTGATGAAATTATGAAATGTTTTCTGCAAGTTTTGAATAGTGCTCTTTTCCAAGGAAAGAAAGGAGGGTCTCTAATGCTCAATTTGAAATTGAACCATCTTGTGCCACTGACTCGTGAAAACACCCTTACCCAAATTCACTTGTTGCTGATCTATTTATATTTTTTGGATGGACTTGTCAACCCTTTCTTATACATACATGTATATATTACAGGTAAATCACTGTTATTTGCTGAACTGAAAAACTGTAGTAAAAGAAAAAGATCCATTCATGTGGCACATCTGAGTAATTTTCCCTTATACAGAGTGATTTCAAGTACATAATTAAGTGCACTGCTAAGGATACATGATAGATACACCCCATCTGAACATAATTTGACTGTGTATAGCCATAAAATTCCAAAGTGAGACCACAGTGATCTACTTTTGGATTGCAATACACCTTCTACCCAAGATACAGGTAACAAGTATGATGCTTTCAAGTCTCACAGTGTGCAAGATATGATCCGGACACCATTTTATAAATTCCAATATGACAACACAGCAATTTACTTTTGAGTTGTGACACACCTTCATCCCTAAGATACATCAACTGACAAGGTTTGATGGTCCAAAGCCTCATAATGTGAAAGACATGATCTGGACATCATTTGACTATGTACAACCATATAATTCCAAAATGAGGCCATGGTGACCTACTTTTGGGTTACAACTAAGGATGTCAACGAATATTCGAACATTCATTCGATGGGTTGATATTCGAATATAAATTTAAGATTTGAATATTCGGTGTTTTACATATTTCATAAAAAGAAGTACTGTGATAATAAATTTTGATTAAATGAAAACCTAAAACTAAAAGGCGTGAAGAGTATACTTATCAAAATAAACTTAATTGATCATTGAATGAGTGTCTGATAGAATTAGTCTGTAATTAATATTGTAAAGGGCTCAATTTCAGAATAAATGTGTAAATTACTTGATTATCTAGGTTGCACATAATCCTGAATTTTATATTCATTATCGGTAAATTAATTAATTACCTAGGAAAATTGTCTATGGAAATATTTGTTTTTATTTTTAAAATATTTAATCAAAGATTATTATCACATCTCTTATTAGGTTGATAATTGTAATTAAGTACACATATTGAAATCTAAACAGTATACGACTATCCTGCCTTTGGAAAGATGACTGGTTCCTCAGTTGGAGCTACTATAAATTTATTAAATTATTAAATTTGTTAAAATCATATCTTTCTACATTTTAATCAATTACTTATTTCAAACATTGACAAATATCAAATGGAATTCCTTATTGTACACCTACAAAAGCCTTCACACAATTTTACTTCCAATATAAGAATACCTACGCTAATCCTTTAATGAGAGTAGGATGATGCATATTTAAAATAAACCATATTTTATTTATTTTATCGAATATTCGAATATATTCGAATACTTTCATTGAATATTCGAATATGAATTTTTGACAAAATTGACATCCCTAGTTACAAAACAGATTCACCCCCAAGATGCATGAACTGACAAGGTTTGATGATCATAGGCCTAAGTTTGAGAGATATAACCCTGACACAAAAAAAAGCAAACAGAGGGGCAGACAGACGGACCAGTAGACAGACAGGAAATCCTATAATATTAAAAAAAAAATATGGAGATATGAAATGGTTATATGAGTTCTTATTTTTGTTTGTATGATTTTTTTTTTGTAAATCAGTATGCAGTATTTTATAAATAGTAACAAGTTTACTACATTTAAAGAGAGGGTAAAGGACTTGAATTGACATGAAATGTAATGATGGCTTTGAGCACAACAGCAGAGTAATGTCATTCCAGTGTGTACTGATTTACCTCCAGTTTTTGTAGGATCTGTAAAAGTACATTTGTTTGTGCCAATATTTGAAATCAGTTTTCTATTTTCAACACATAAAGCCACTTTTCACTCTCTGAGCATTCCTGACTGAACTGACATTCTTCGTGTATAAAGACCATATGAAGCTTTAACAACATAATTCTAGCCAGAAACAGTGATAACTATACTAAATCAAACACTGTGTACAAAATTTACATGTACATCCTCAATGATCGGAATGTTATTACACTGACGATTAGTAAACTATATATTAGGAGATGCTTGGGAGCTTTTTATTTACAAATACCATCACATTTTAACCTGATTAAATGAAAGACTACATTATATTTACAATCAGCAGGTTACATATATATATAAACCTATGAAACCTACACCAGAGGCTAGATACACTTATAACCCTGTACTGGCATCACTTACCAGCTCCTGACTAGGATCGTCATTAGACATCTGTAGAAATCGCTCCAATCGAGCACTCGAGTGTTCAGGACCCTACAACAGTGATTTCCAACTTGATAGATTACATTGAAGAATAATTAAATTTACTTTGAATATACTAGAAAATATTGTTACCAAGATTGTTAACTACCTCAAAAACTATTCTTTACCATTTCCCGATTTTGTACACTGGTTTGTCTATACGATATAACACTGGAACATCTAATACCATGTTGCTCGAACAAACAAAATATTTTTTGTCATACTAATTTATCTACCTACCATGCCCTCATACCCGTGAGGGAGTAAGAGGGTCAATCCAAGTTGTCTGACCCACTTATCTTGTCCACAGGATATAAACTGATCAATGATTGGCTGAGCTGTGTTAGCAAAGTCTCCAAACTGGGCCTCCCACAAGACCAGACAGTTAGGATCCACCTGACTAAAGCCCACCTCAAACCCTACAACGTTACATAAATAACATCACATATTCTGGATAACACAACTAAATAAATTGAACAACTTTTAAATATTTTTTTCAACAAATTAGAATTTACACCTTCTTTTATAATAACTAGCATGACCAAAAATTTTGTTTAGATAATGCTATTAAAAAAGTTAATCAATTTATTTTGCAATTACGATAAGTGGGTAACTTTATAAGGAGTAGCTACATCAAACTACTGAAAAATAAAATTTTAGCATGTATATACTGTACTTCAGAGAGCTCAAGGTAATAAAACCCATTCCAAATTGAAAATCCATACATTTCTGAGTGAAAAATAAAGCCAATACTGTAGACATACTTCTATTACATGTGGGATTAATTTTCAAAATGTACACCGTCACAAATTTTCCATGGAAATTGTCACAGCGTTTTTTTAATTTCATTTAAGGCAGAGAAAGACAATCTAAGATATCCGCATTATTTTTTATCTGTGGTTTGGACAGAATTTGTGTTTCCGTGGCATTATAACCTCCTGTAAAAAAGTAGGTAACTATACAGTAACTGTGTGTGTTCTTTAAAAGCTGACATACATGTGTAAATAACTGTGCTATGTGACTAATGCAAGACGTACCTAGCACAGCATACTCAGACAGAGAACTGTTACACACAGTGTAGGGGGCAGGCTTCTTCCCCTCAAACAGACCATCCAGGTCATTGAGCTGACAATATGTCTTCTTGTCAATATTCTGATCATGAATCACATGATGACGGTGACTAAAAATAAATTGTAAACACTGACCTCTATATTTAGTTTTCTGTATCAGGAGGAAATAAAATGCTGCAAACATGGTTTTAATAAAATGACTTTTAATAATAACTGTAAAATAGTACTTTTCACCTCAATAATGCTTTCAATTTCATAATCATAGGTGCAAATTGGCAGAAAAATTACAAAAAAACTCCATTACAGAATGCTACCAGCCATTTTATAGCTCATCCATTAATGTATCTAAAAATATACTGACCTGAATGTCCCTCTCTCTACATCCTGACCACTGAGTCTCACTGGGTAGCCATCAATAAGGAGGGACATGTAAGCTATAGTCTCCCCCAGGGCCCAGTCCACGGTTCTCTCCTCAATCATCTTCATCCGGGCCTTAAGAACTCTGCTCAAACCTGAACAAACATTTCCAGCAAACCATTATTTTCTTTCAAAACCTTATGGAACTTACAAACATAAGGCTAGAGATTCCTCTGAATAATATTTTCATATTCTAAAAATATTTACATTTCTTCTACATTTCTATTTGGTACAGCACTACAAGGATTAGTAACTTTACTCAATATCATAACAGGACTTTGACTAATGTGGGTCATAAATTAATTTATGCATGTATGTTATTTCAACTCAAATTCTTAAGTTATAAATTACTTAAATATGACATGCACACTGGAACGTCAATCTTAATTCGGCTAAAATCAGAAAGATTAGTATGATTGTTTCAGCACTGATCCCAACTAAGGCCAGAAGGAACATATGCTAAAGACTACAACTTCTTTTCAACAAGATTCCTCCTTACTTGTGTGAATGTTGAGATCATCAGGGACAGAGCTGGCCTGGACACCAAGTTTACGTACAACCTCCTCGGGTATCCCCGTAGGTGCCACTTTCATCTGGTCTTTGTTAGTGAAGAAGTCTCCCCATGGTGAGTCCAGCCATTCACTGTTCTTATTCACCAGGATGTTCTTGGATTCATCATAAGCTTTCTTACAGATTTGGTCATACTTCTCTATTTCATTCTATAAATACATATGTGATAATACAAGCGAGTGTCCACTTGGATGCCGTGCATGTACCACCACTGATTGAAGATGTACATGTTGCAAATTGCCCAAGTTAAAATTTGATTTTACTACACTTGTCAGTATTAATGTATAATATATTCCCCATTATATTAAGCATGAGAACTGGATTGTTATGTATGATTTTGGCATCAGGAATCAAATTATTGAAGACAATGAAATCAAAATTCACCCTTTCAGTAAAGGAGTTACTAATATGTGTGATGCTGGGATTGAGAACAGTGACGGTTTCAACCTCTCGATTAAGACTCCGGAGTTACTACATGTATTAGCCAGAATGCCAAACAAATGTACCCACCTTGTAATCATCTTTGGTGACAACCCCTGAACTGACAAGCTCATCTGCATACTTCTCCATCACTGGCTGCTGTTTCTTTATGGCTTTGTACATGATAGGTTGAGTTACATACGGATTATCATTTTCATTGTGGCCATTTCTTCTGTAGCATACCTATAAGTAATTAATAAACTAATGACTGACAATTCAGGGTTTTAGGACAGATTTTTCTATCATTTCCCAAATAAATTTAATATTGTTGAAATAACTTGGTCTGCAAAATAAAATTTCCATGCTCCTGTTTTTTTTTTACAGAATCATCTGTGTAAAATGTAAATATTTCACTAGAAATTAAAAACTTACTAGATCAACTACCACATCTTTTCCAAATGTGGCCCTCCACTCAGCAGCCACCTTACACACATACACCACCTCCTCAGGGTAGTCAGCATTGACATGGAAGATGGGGGCATTGATCACCCTCCCTACATCAGTGGGGTAGGGGGAGGATCTCGAAAAACGTGGATCTGTGGTAAATCCAATCTGTAAATCAAACCATCTTAACTTTTATATGTGTCATACACATCAAAATCCATTAGAACTAAATATTTTCTATTCAAAAGGATACTCAGGGTGATTACTTCCTAATACCATTTGCCACAATTGAAGAATTAAAAAACTGTATTTTTATATAGCATGTTTCCACTTTCTGGTCATTTTCCCTAGAAAATCCATTGTTTTATGTAGAGTGCACACCCAAACAAGAAAACAAATTGAGACATAAAAATCATTTTTAATCCACTTATTAGTATACTACAATGTAGAAAACTTGAGTATTTTTCTCCATCATACTAAGTAATTTGATATGATGATACCACAACAGGAAAAAATGAAAGATTAAAATAAATATCAGAAAAATTTTAAGACACTTATTTTGAAATTGGCCTAATTAAAATGAGATATATATATATATGAACTAAAAAGTAAAGACATCTTGCTGTATGTCTAGTTTTACATGATTTACTTGCATTTTAATTCATGTCAGAGTGGGGTACATAACTTTATGAGATCAAAAGTTGTTTTATGCTTTTGACATTTGATAGGGCAATTGGTTTGTTGCAAGTCTTCCTCCATTATAGACATGAAAATCAGAAATGCTTAAAATGTATTTGTAATAAATTTTTCTTCTGACAAAACCAATGCTTTGGCAAGGTCTTCACATGAAAAAAAGGTTTCCATTTGTTGATTTGTGTAAATTACAGCACCAGCAGAATACGCGTCAAAACTCGTCATTAAGTGTTCAGGGATAGGCTCCAATCGTGGCATTAAGGGGAAAAGGATAGAAAAGACTAAGTGGAATAGAATTAATGTACCTGATTGTTGACTACAATGTGAATGGTGCCGTGAGTGGTAAAAGCTGGTAAGTCACTCAAATGTAGAGTTTCATATACAACTCCCTGACCAGAAAATGCTGCATCACCATGTAAAAGAATGCTCATCACCTACAACATATATCAGTACACATATAAAAATTCAAAGCTGTTCCAACTCACTAGAATCTGTTATAACAGTTCTAAACTACATAATTTTATAAATTTTATCCCCTCAAGAAATCAATATCTATCAATTCTTAATTCCAAACCCTTTCATTAATCCTTTCTTTTTCTTTAAGGTCAAACAGAAAAATAATTTTACAGCAATATAATTCAAATACATGTTGAAGATTTTGAAGATAGATACTAATTGTGCAGAAAAGTCTTCTATCCCCACATTTCCTCTGATCTACCACTACCTACCCTTTTGCCATCAGTGTCTCCCATACACTCCTGTTCATGCCTAGTCTTGCCTTGAGCCACAGGACCTACAGCCTCTAAATGAGATGGGTTAGCCACCACTGCGATTTTGATTTCTTTATTTGTGACCCTGTTCAACCTGTGGTGTGACATTCCAAGATGGTACTTGACATCTCCAGATCCTTCATCTTCCTCATTCAATTTGGAGTCAAACTGACAGAAGATGTTCTCCAGGGGCTTTCTGCAGACATTGGCCAGTACATTCAGTCTTCCTCTGAAAAAAAAACAAAACATTAAGACTAACAGAGGTATGTCAGTGTTCCAATCATTATAAAAAAAAACATAGACAATCACTCTACTGTTATGTTCTGATGTGAGTTGAAACACATAGTACAATAAGGTGTTCTATATACACTTGATGTCAATTTTTCTCGTACCATAATAAAATAATCCCTAACTGAATAGTACACATTGACACTATGTTGAATTTTTCTAAGACAGTTTTTATTAAGACTAAATTAATAAAATCATAAAACACTATGTATTTAATAGGAATTAATAATTGTTTCAACCTAATGAAATAGACAAAATTCCTGAGCACCCAGAGACAAGATTGGACAAATTACACTGTACATGGTATCAAATAAAAACAGGTTGAATTTATATACCTGTGTGGCATTCCAATAATAAAACTCTCTGCTCCATACTCTGTAGACTTATCAATAATGGTCTTCATTCCTGGAATCAACACCTCACATCCCTCCAAACCGAAACGCTTCTCTGATGTCCACTTTGTTGACAGAAATTCCTCAAATCTAAATCAAAGTTTATCATATGTGTAAAATAAAATTAAAATACTAAAATATTTCCTAGTTTATCTTTTTTTTCAAAAGGAAACCGTGTTCGTCACTTCTTAAAGTTTGTCAATATAAAATTTTTCTTTCACCTTTGTGATCGAACAAGGCGAGCAAGAGTGACATGTTTCTCCTCTGTTGAAAATTCTCTGATTCTCGGAGTCTCAAACTTTTCCCTGATCCAGCGAGTCTGTTCCTCATTGTTGATGTGAGTATACTCAATTCCAATATGCTTACAATAGATGTTCTGAGAAAGAAAATTAAATCAACTGAGATTCTGTACATGAGAGAAGAGTTGTAAATTTGGAGATGACTAAATTTGGGTACCTTTGTCTCAACTAGACATATTATTAATTCCAATATACTTAACCTTGAATTCTAGGCTTGAAAAAAAATTGAGAACAAATACAATACTTATACACCATCACTTAACAACCATATGGTTGTAAAGACCTAACTATAACACTTGGAGATGTATACATTATAAGGGGTGTCTAATCCTAACACATACATCTAGTCTAGTGTAGACCATACAGTTGAGTACATCATATAATATAAGGGGCTTCTATCCCCCATATTGCATACACTTTCTAGCCTGGTGTATACCTTATAGATAGATGGTACATCACAGAATATCAGTGGCTTCTTCTTCCCTATATTATACATACCTCTAGTCTACGAATGATTTCCCCCAGTGACAGGGACTTCTCTTCCCCTCCTATGTAGGTCACACTATCATCAGGTAAGTAAAACTTCCTATCCAGGTCAGTCTCACCTAAAATATTATTGAGCATATAAGGAAATTGATAAAGTACACATTGTGTTTTGTTTGAAATACAGTGTATTGCTTTGGCACATGATACACCCATAAGGAACTCTGAATTAGGTACTATTGATCACCAAATTTTCACAATACCTTAGAGATATTTTATTTGGCATTTAAAATCTAACACATAAATTTTGTAAATTTTGATTACTGTTCAAAATAATCTTTAATATTACAAATATTCACGAGAATGATATCTATGCAAGCAAGCAGTCTCGCCTAATTATGAAAATAGTTTTTGTGAATAAAAAGCAATTTACAGTATGCTTTATAAATACTATCAGTAATAGCATTTCAGCTGTAAGCTTTATCTGGTTGACTTATATCTATTAACGCAAACATAAGTATGAAATGTCATGGTGACATATTTTGTGTTCGACTGAATCTCATCTCACTGTTTTCCAAATTTTTATCTCATACTGTGATATATGCTCTGATATGACAGATTTACAGACAGAATTACCAAACCATTACTCAATTTATGGAAGATAAATCTACAAATTATTTATAATTCCATACACAAGTATAAAGATGCAACTTTCAATAAATACCACACAAAGATATGATGTAAGTGAAAGAATATTAGTCATTCATTTATTATATAATATTGTGTATTTCAAATCATCCATCTAAATAAATTCATTAACTGAATAATTTACCATCTTAAATTTCTCATACATATTAACTTTAAAAAAAAAAATAATTGAGATAAAGTAAAGATATCACTATATATTGACTATGTGCAAGGAAATTGTGCTTTTCTTTCCATTTTGTAGACAAATATGTAGTACATACCAGTAATGAAAATAAAAAGTTGTATTACTTATCCCAATTAATAACTGCAAATATCAAACATCTATTAAGCTTGAGGAACAGAAATGCACATGAATATTCTTTGTACCATGAATATTCAAAGTCTTTTCATTACTTATTTCAAAGGACATTTGCAGAGAGCCATGAAGTTCTGCTTAATTTTTTTTTCTTATTTTTGCTTAAATCATTACTACTTCCCTGGAGGTCACAGGATATATTTTGATCTAAAAAGATGGTTTGAAAAAATCCTGTCCAGTATGTAATTTATATTGAAGGCAGAGATTTTTTAATGGGTGGTAAATCTCAGATGAGGGTGGGGCTTAATTCTACAGAAGTGAATGCCTCTAGGTCTAGCAGTCTATCTGCGGTCACGTTCTCTGCCAATTCCTATACACAATTTGTAATGTCACTGGGATGATTTTAAAATGAGTAAAATATTGGAAATGAGCAATTCCAATTGTTTTGATTTAAAGTGATTTGTAATGAAACACTGATTTTCCTTACTTTTTCAAAATGGGTTCAGGCTCAATAAAATTGGGAATTCTGATGCATCAAATATTCAGATTGGGATTTTTTTTCTCAAGTACATGTGTATTTCTTGCTTGAAACTTGATTGGGAAAATAGCAAAAATTTTGAAAACATCACCAGTATTTTACTTGGAAATAGGTCTAGTAACCATAAGTCTGACACAAAATGAAATACTTTTAAAATTAAGGAACTTGTGTTTATTTAAAAAAATCTCTTCAATCACATGACCAAAATCCAAGTCTTCCTTACAAATTTCTCACCTTTACATTTGATTTTAAGAAAATTTGCTTAGTGTTATAAAATACTTTTCTTTAAATGAAAGAAATTTGGCAAGAATGTAATCTGAATCTTGTTCATAAACTACCAATATAATGGTTATGAAGAACAGGTCTAAACAGGCATATAATGCACACATAAAAGATACTGCTACCAGTAATTTCTTCTTTTTATTTCTTAAAGAAAACATTTGCCTTAAGATGTTTTCTGACAAGTTCATCTAAATTCAATGAAGTTTCTATTTTTTTTTTTAAATAATCTCATTAAAAAAATTTAAAAGACAATTTGTTTTCAATAGCCCATGAGGATAATTCTTTTCTATGTATGTCTAAAATCTCACTCTTCACAATTCTTGACAAAAACCTACAGCTGTACCTTAGGAACATTCCCACTTCTTTTGTCCAATATTTATCATAATACAGAGCAAGCAAATATATTTAGTTTTCAACAATACAACATGGCCAACAAAAATTACACCTGAAGTAAATTTCCTGAAATAATTATGCTTTCCTTCTATTCCAAGTTATCTGGTTATAAAAATAAATCTCCCCTCCAGAGTGATGCAACAATTACAAGCATTAAGACATTATTACCTATGTTTATACAAAGCCCCAAGAGGATTTATTTCTTTTACCTTAAGGTACAAAGCCACTAAATAATTTCAAAGAAATTCATGAAAGTTGCTACTAAGCACTCTTACTTCAAGATCGCCTTTCCCTCCACATGCAGTAAAAGTTATCATTTCTGTCAACAGTCGTAATAATTAATGTAGGGATACATGCACATGAGAACAAATCAACCATCAAAGTACATCTATTTCTGAGTATTATGTAATACATGTATGTGTTATGTCTATCAAGATCCACTTCGATGTGTTGTATTTCAATAATCATTATGCATACTTAACAATTACTTGGACAGAAAAAGATGATAATGAATAACAACTTTATAACAGTGCAGTTTAACCTTGAAAAGAAACTTCTTAAATTTTCAACATGAAGTTTTTACCAAGTGCAAATTAAATACATATTTCTATGCCTGATCAATTCATATGAAAATCATGCATTTTTTCCTGGTTGTGTTTGACAAGCAAAACCACTAGTAAGAATTACTTGACAAACTTCTGTTTTTATTTTTTAAGTATTTTAAATTGCCTTTTTTTGTTGATTTGGCACACTTTAATCCTATTACTGTATCTAAAAATTTTTCCATAAAAGCAAATTTGAATTATATTCCATCCAAACCATATATCATGCAAATCTTTTGTGCATGCAGTTATTAAAACTTCCCCGATGCATGTTCCCTGTTACCAGATAATGATAAAACTATTTCTTTAGATCTGAATTAAAAGGACTACATTATCTAGGTAACCAGAAAAGTGCTGAAAATTACAACTCTAATATTGATAATATATAATTCTTTGCATATAAAACTAAGAGCTGTGAAATTCATTAAATGCTAAGCAGTTGATTAATACATGTATATGAAAGCTCTCAATTTAGAAGCAGGCTAGCTAGACCAAATGTAATTTTCTAAACATATTTCCTTTCTTTTGGTTAAATGTTTTTGTTTTGTTTTGTTTTTTTAATTTTTCCAAAATTATAACAGTTTATTTATTCTAAATTCCATTAAACATTATACTTCCAGTTATTGAGCAACAAGTATTAGTTAACATGCTAACAAAAATCTTCATTTGTTAAATTTAATTACATTAATCTTAATCAAATTTTGAAGATGGTTTACAATAGAGAGACAAAAATAACAGGCTTCAGTAAAAAGCATTACCAAAAACAATTACCACCACAACTGGGGGACTGGGATATTTAATTCTTACCAAACTGGAAATGATCATAAGCTAGTTCGATTCCCATGTTAGAAAATGTGTGCTTATTTATTCCCAGTGGATCTAAATCTGCGTAATGGTGACCACGCTCCTAAAGGCAAGGAAACAAAAGGGGACATAGCGTTAAACATAAAACTGAAGCTGGCAGACAATAAACCTTTTAGCATTGTCATTAAATACACTTGTAGCCACGCTAGAAGTAAGCTGCATGGTTCCAGTCTGCAGCAGTGGTGCTTAAGGAAATAGCATCCAGCTTGCTTTGCTAAAAAATGACTTTGGGTATGCTGTAAAAGCTACAAAATTCTGTCAACATTGTTCTATTAAAGCAGTCACTTGGGTACATCTATATAGACATAACTCATAAAAAGGCAATAAATATTTGCATTACTGTATAGTGCTGTTGCATATGCCATTAAAGTATTATGTACATAGCAAATGTTTGTTTCCAGAGTCATTTGGTAACTTTTTTTTCTTTGCAAAGGAACAACAATTAAAATGAAAACACCAAACAAATCAACAATTCTAATGGATAAGGAAAAGAAAGATGACATTTCTAATACATGGTGTCTACAAATAAATCAATGAAAAGTACCCCACATGCTTTAATATTTACCTACATGCAAATATTTATGAAAATCTAAGGAACCTGTACAGAGTCTTGGGATATGCATTGGTACATTCCAATACAGAAGTATAGGTGCTATTCAAAAGTACAATACCACATCTGCACTGTGTCATATATACCCACCAAAGTTGTGGGAGCTCAGCATAAGACTTTTGGGACATTCTGAATCCAGGTCAGCTGAATTTATCCCCAGGGGATCCAAATCGGCAATCTTATGTCCTCTTTCCTAGTAGTTGAAACATGGCATGATGTGTGATAATAACAATGAGGGTCTCAAAAGACCTTGATATGAAAACAAATACTGTATTCTCCCTATTAAGTGCCCCTACCCCTATAAGCACCTCCTGGAGCATTTTTCTGATTGTCTGAGAATAAGGACTCTCCTTTATCAACTTGTGGTCTCATCAGTATTTTCCAACTCTATCAGATCTACATGCAAAACTGATTGAAAATCAGAATATGTTTGACTAAATTGACTATGCCATTGGAGAAAGAGTGATTGACAAACTCTTAAACAATTTATTTTACCCACAAAACTTTTGATGGAAAGGGTTTATTAGGGTATAAACTTGAATTAACTTTTCACACAATCATTTAACTTTAACAAGGTCACTAAATAGCTGCCCCCTTTTTGCAATTTTCTAAACACCCAGGCACTTAATAGGGAGAATACAGTAACTACTTTATGAACCAGTGGATATTTAAATATTATGTGAACATCTTCAATAATGGCACTGACTGAATGATGAACACTGGTTCATAAAACAGAGATCATATATATACATGCACTGTCATATAGCAACAAATTTAAGACATCAGTTAGTATCAAAACTCAATTAATATAGAGGTATCAACTTCATTTCATTAATGCGAAAATTTGTAATGACTTTGTGTTAAAATATCGCCATATGACAATGTGATGCAATGCAGCATGTTGTAAACAATTCACATGACCTTGTCCTAGTTTCATTTCCCTGACATTTTCCTTCATGAAGCAGGATTGTGCAAGGAAAATAAAACCACAAATAGGTCATAGCAAGACATTATGTGTTGAAAGTACAGAAGTTATCCTATTTGGTGTTTAATGTGAAGTGTGAGAAAGGTATCTCTCAGACAGAGTACATCAATACTTTCTCAGACATCACACAATGTCAATTCTACCGAAATAATACTGATCAATGGTGACAGTTTTCTCCAGAATTAATTTAAAAGACTTAGTTGCTGAAATTACTTCTCCCAAACCCCAGAAAGAAAATACTCTGATAACAGTAATCTTTGCCATAAATATTCATGTAGAATTTCAGACCACTTATGTTTCTGTTCTTCTTAATGCTGCATTTAAATCACAAATCAAGCAAGCATAAAGAGATAGCAAATTACTGATGGCAAGATCCATTTGGTATACATTTCATCTATAATAAGAAAAAAAAATATGTGAAATAAGTGCACAAGTGTTGACAGTCAATGAGCCATGTTGAAACTAGGTATTCAAAAAGCTGATGATATGGCCATAGCACTTCCTGGAAAAGAATTTTCTTACAATGAATTGAGTTTATATATAGTCACTGGATGTTTTCCATGTCACTGGAGCATGAAACTGTTCAATCTGAATTAAAAGTTACAATAAATCCAAAACTTAAATTTACAAACAGGATATATTCATTTAGCATTTTACGTCTCCTTTCAAATAATTTGTTTTTCTTATAAATTTAGTGAAACATTTTTTTCTCTCTCTGATCATATCTACGACTTTAAAAAATTCACATTTAAGTACAAGAAAATATGTCTTTGAAATAATGTACAGATAATAAGATTGTTGCTTTTGAGACAAGTTTAGCTTGTTGACAATATTGACACTGTATCAGTCTGTTGCTAAGATTAGTTTATATATATATACCACACCTGGTAAGATCGGATGAGACTCTGTACATGGTAGTATTCTTGACTCTGTTTGTATGTATCTACAGAGGTTGAAGGTTGAGCGTGTGGTACTAATTGTGACGGACTAGTGAATTCTCCATGACGAAAGTAGGCATCCCAAGACTAAGACAGAAAAGAAAAAAAATCTCATTCAATTTCAGCATCCTAACATATCTGACACTTTCACATGAAGACGTCCTAATTTTTACTACACTTTAATCCTTAATTGTATGAAAATTTCTATAAAATGGGTGAAATTATAATTCATTAAAATAAATGATAAAACCCCTGAATCAAAATGACACACATATATATGTATCTAACATGTCTAATAAGAATGTACATATATACTGGAATGTAATATATTTCTTCATGGTTATCATGCCACTATTATGTAATTTTGTGTCCAAGATAATTTATAGTTATGTCACTAATGGCTCACTATTAAACACAATGCTTGTTCATGTTGTTGAAACTCCTAATTTAGGGAAGGATATTGTACACCTTTTACTATGGCAGGGATTTCAAAAAGATTTGAAACGATTTACAGTCAACTCGTACCCAAACCGAGTCGTACCCAAACAGTCAACACTATATAATGCCATACGACATGATGCCATAAAATTTGTAAAGTTTATTATAATTATATCCATAATGTTTATTACTTACCTGAAAAAAAGATTTTTAAAATGTAAAATTTACGTTTTACAATTTGTTGTTTGTGTGTTGTTGTTTTTATGTTTTTGTTATCTTATAGTGTGACAAAATCAGAGATAATAGAACTATTTATATAGTCATTAACAATACACATTAAGAAATAAAATACAAAAATCATACAAACTTATATATTTACCCTTGAAAACAACTAATTGTTTCTTTTTATGATTTAATTTTTGACATTTAAGCTTTGGGTACAAGTTGACTCTGGGTTTGGGTACGAGTCAGTTTGGGTACGAGTTGACTGGATACCTTTGAAACAAGTGGCGCTTTTACAAAAATAAGAAGTACTTGGGAGTTCTAAGCAATTTTATTAAAATGTTATCAAATTTTTCTTGAGGATCTTGACTGAATATTTTTGGCCAGTACTATTCTGATTTCAGCCGGGTAAAAGTACCAGGTATTGACAGATTTTGAAAGCCCTGGAGTGCTATGATAAATTACTATTTTATACATCTATTAAAGTGTTGTAATAATTTCAGAATCAAGTTGTTATTTCCAAAATTAAAAATTAATGTACAACTTATATCTTTACAAAAAATCTCATTATCTTTGATTCTATTGAATATACAACTCAACCATTTATAATTAATTAACTATATTCACTACTTTCATATTTGTTGAAAAAAAAGGTCAGTGTTAGATGGGTTCTGAATACCATGTGAAGTTGTAAAACAGATTTGAACACTTTCATGATGAAAAAGAACACAATATTTTATCAAATAACTTACCACAATTCATAAATATTCTTAGTGTAACCCTCAACTCAAAAGCCAATCTGTCATTTGATTTATCAAAATGATAAGATTTTAAACATTCTAAATATTAAATAAAATACTGAATGTAATTGTCAAGTGCATGTTAAACATGACATCTCTTTAACATGTCACATGCCCTATGACATAAAATCAAACTTAAACATGTTCATATTCAGTATTGTTTGCACTGACAATATTCACATGAATGTTTAAAGCTAAAAAAACTCAACTAGTGCACTAAACAGAAAAAGTGTGTATCACAAATTCATCAAGTCAACAATTTCCTGTCAACATTGAGATGAATATAGAAAATTTTTAACACTTAAAGACCTGTATGAATACAAGTCCTTCAGGTTTCCTTAAATATAATTTTCATAAAAAGTTATCACACTATCACAGAACATGTAATTTTCTGATTAAAAATCCAACAACCACTACAAAACCCTCATTCACCTTGTGCACACTTGAAGGATCTTGGAGCCATGCTTCATACATGTGTTCTGTGTACACAGATGAGCTGCCATTTAGAAACGAGTGTGTCGTTTGAGTCCTTTCTGGGATGATATGTGTACTGGCACAAGTCCTTTGAAGTAAAATTCCAAGGGTCTGTGGCTTGGAAAGACCCGAGAGAAACGTTTTTGCACGATACATTTTCACGTCTTTATGAAATGCAAGTGTCTTTTGGTGTGACAAAAACTGCACATATGCTCACGAGCCAGCGTGGCGATTTTCTACCGAATCACCACAGGCACAGCGTGGCTGATCAAAAAACCGCTCCCCCGGGCGGTGACTGTATTGTTTCCAACAGAAAAAAGTGTATGATTATACTTTCCAGACTTAAAAGAATACGTTGTGTACGTTACTGTCAAGGTCATGCAACAGGAGAACACGGGTAATTTTTACGGAAAATCTCCACAGATCGCTGAAAAACAGAATGAAATAAAATTTATAATTATGCATACAACAACTTTACATTCATTCAAAATGAAGTGTTCCTGTTTTCAAGCGACTCACAAACTTACAAAAATGCCGGACCGATAAAGTCCTTGCAGTAACTTTCTTCCCCAAACTGGGTTTGCAATGTTCTCTTTTATTGGATATTTTTTAACCAATGGAATAATACGGCACAATTTTCTCGAGGGTTATCTCTCTTCGAGCACTTGCGCGCTTTCTCCCTTCTCTCTCTCTCTCTCTCTCTCACATACATATTCAATGTATATATAATGTATATAAAAATATATGCATTTGATTATTACCCTTGCATACAATATGATTTTTAATACATTTTTACACATTTATTACACATTTCAGTATGTCTTATCTACGAAGTGTTGAGTAAAAATTTGCCCTGTGTAATCTTCAACATGGAGGAAGTCTTCATTATTAAAATTGTCACAAACTCACAATCCACATAAACTTTTCTTTTTTTTTGGTATACTTTAAAATTTTTATTATTTTTACTCTGCATAATTATCCAAAATGAAGCGCCGTATTTAATATAAAATTATTTATTGAAAAATATTTATATGAAAAATTCTCTTAGTAGAAATTTAGTATTCCTTTATGCGATGAATGGTCCTTTCTAAAGTAACTTTGTGGATGAAAAAGAATGTATTTGCCCCCCGTAAATAATTAAATAATTGCCACGGATAATTGACAATTTTATAAGGAGCTTTATCAAATTATCAGGAATAAAACCTTTTTTAATCAGGAAATAGTATATAATATTCTATTCTATTCTATTCTATTCTATAATAACATTGAAGAGCTGCACAGTATATTTCTAGAAAAATGCAGGGCGGGATTTCGAGATAAAAGGATATATACTGATCATATTTATGAACGAATGACTACGGAATACCCTTTTCTTCGTAATATTTTTTACTGGGTCCTATTAGGGTCGAGTGGGTACTGCCAGTGCCATGGATCATTTTAATCATTTGACTGGGGGGGGGGGGGGATCACACCATATACTGTCAATGTGATGCTGAACTAAAATTCTGGTTTTGCATGGATAACCTATTGTAAAATTCACAGGTACTTGGGTCTTGGTTTATAAATATGTATACCTATTGATATGTAAAAAAAAGTATCAATAGGTATACATATTTATAAACCAAGACCCAAGTACCTGTGGTAAAATTTATGACTCCCTCCCTCTCTCTTGAAAATTTAAATCAATTTTGCTACTTAAACCAAGGAAGGACGACATATATCGCTTTTACGAAGTTGACTCTACGTGACCTTTCACCTTTGACGCATAACGGTACACTGCGCACCTGGGTTTCAGCTGTCAAACGTTTGTGATAGCGCTTGAGAGTAGTGATGGTTTAACGTGAGTGTGTGTGCATGTGGGATTTAATTCGCAATTTTTACTTTAGTGTTGTGGAATTATCAGTTAATTTGTAAATATGAAGAATACAGATGAAAACCATAAGATAACGGAATCAGTATACAAGGTAAAATTTTATCTTACTATAAAACGTAGAACCACACCTGCATGCTGAAAATCAATATTATTTTCCTTGCTTGTAGAAAGACAGGTACAAATTTCCGGTCATTTGATAAACATGTTTAATAGCCAACAATCGTCATGTCCGTCTTGATCAATAAAATAATAAATGACAATTGTATTTTCCCCTGCATTATGAATATATATCTTTTTCTCGACGATGCAAGTTATATGATATATCTATAAAAAAGCAAATATCTCGTCAAATTTTTACTTATTTGATTGAATTTGGAGCAGAATCTTGCGGAGAATTTCAACCCAGGAGTTCGACAAATCGTAGCATGCGGGAAAATGTACCACAAGGCCTTGCAAGGTAAGGGTGTCATTTATAATGTTGACACAATAATTTCACCGTCCCCTAAGTAAAGATAAACTCTACAGAAGGAAACAATAACTTATCATTAACTTATCCGCTGTTCTGGACAGCTATGTAGACATAATATGAATTTTCCATCAGCCGGGTTTTTTTTACTCCAAGGGGGTATATTAACTACAAAATGATGCATGCCTGTTAATTCTCTCATAGGGGGCTCACAATGTCAAAACTATGTCAGAGAAATTATTGCACATTCCAGACTTTTGTCACCTAAGGGGAAGATTTAGACATGAAACAGGTATTGTGTGCAGTCATTTTGGGTGTGGTCATCATTTAATTTAGGGCTCGAAAATGACCACAATAATGTATGGGGTAGTGGTACCTAGTGGGAAAAGGGGGTAATAATTCCCCCAGTAATGACTTTGATTAAGATAAAGGTATGCCCATATAAAAACCATGATTTATTTGTATACTTCATAGCGATTCATCACATTGTTGGTAAATGTATATATTGTATATAGGTAGTTCTGATAAATGGGCCAATTGTTGCTATAAAAAATATATTGCTTCTCTGGACCAGTATGTAAATTTTATGTAAAGAAATATTGCCATTAGATGATGCTATTATAAGAATGGTTCATGTTCATTTCTAGGCCTAACAGTTGCTGCCCGGGCCTATACAGAAGCCTTGTTGAGGGTAGGGCAAACAGCCCGTACAACATGCTCAGGGGGCACAGAAGAAATAGGTAGGTTTTTCAATATACCTCAGTTGATTTTTTTTGATATTGCTAAAAAGAAAATAGAATAATTTTTGAATGGCTATCCCAGATTCTGTCATATTGCATGACAAATTTCAATGAATCAGCCGAGGCTATGGAAGTCCCCCCAGGCTATAAGATACACGGAGACTCGTGATTATTCCTCCTGTTAGTAGATGCCTGTTACAACAATTCAGGATACTTAATGTCTGGTGAAACATCAAACAAACTTTACAATCAGTTGTAAATGGCTCTATCATATGATTGTATACACCTGTGATTTTAAGACTGAAAAATGGTCAGGTCTTACAACTGAATGACAAATTTAAAAGAACAATCAGTGAGGATAGTTTTTTTTTTTTTTTTTAAAATCATGAAAAATCTTCATGTTTTCAAACATTACAGAAGATTTAGGTTGTGTGGTCTTGAAAATTGGCCAGCTGTTTTATATTTTGTTAAGAAGTGTTTACTAACATTTATATAGTTTGGTTTTTAAAGGGAGACAACTTTCACAGGATCTTCTCCACCTACTGTTTTTAAAGGGAGGTGGCTTTTTATATGACTTCCTTTCATTTTGTTTTTTTTAAAAGGGAGACAACATTCCTATCCATCCCCCTATTAATTTATGTGAGGATATATCAGGAGACAAAGAGTTTACTGCAAACAAAACTTATCAAAGTATTCTAGTAGTAATTGAGGATTTTGTTGTAATGCAAAGATTATCTTCTTTATTTCATCTTAAAACCGTCATTTCTACTTGTTTAGATATTTAACATGGAAAGGAAAGAAATAAACATTATTTTTTTTATAACATTAGGGACACTCATGACATTTATACATTATTTAGACCTGTAAAGTCATAAAAATTGTAATTTTATGCAAATATATACTAGCCAGCAATATAACTGAAAGTTAATTATGTCCTCAATAGAAGATGTATCACAGCTTATACTGAAAATGAGGTCATTTCTACTGAATTTATTCCAGGAAAAAAGTCTCAAAATTTCCTTTCACAGAATGCTAGCTTTAAAGTTTTATGAATTTCATATTCCCTATGATGCAATTACGATATGGAACTAACTGCATTGTATAGAATTGAAAATCTTTTTTAATAAGCAGTAAAATTAAAGTGGACAAAAACATGGAAATTAGAGGAACTTTTGATAAAGAGATGAAGTAAGAAGTGAACAAATGGTTAATGTTATTGATGATGGACTGTGCTTTGAGGTTAACACATTGATGTGGGTTGACTCTGACTCACTTCTCTCTTTTATTTTCTCCCCTCAAAATAAAAAAAATGAAATGAAATTACAAGAACAAGGAAATTGAATTAAGTATTACATCACTATTGCTGCTTATAACTTGTACCTTGTGTTTTGAAGTATATCGGGAAAATTAAAAATTTCCTCATGCTCAAGCAGATCTGTAAGTAAATCATATAGTGTACCATGAACTTCATAAATAGTGTTTTTTTTAAAGTTAGTTTGATTCATTTGGTACACTCACTTCCCCATTCATACTATTGTTGGTTATGTTTAAAAAGGTTTTATTGAAATTATTTTTTTTTTCAATAAAAATATCACTATATGTGCTCTGTTGAAACAGAGAAAGGAAAAATACATAGAAAATAGCTGAAAAAGAAAATAAAGTCACATTTTTATCATGTCTGAGTCAGTTCATCTTCATGCATCTAATGACCTCAAACAAAACAAAAGACTAAAAGATGCTTTAAAGATAAAAGATGAAAAATGTGAAAAGCAGGATTACATAGGTGTATATATATCTGTGTGTCCTCTGCCTACATGATGGATAATGACATCTCCCTTTTGTTGGTGGGAACAGTTGTCATTTAATGATTTCCCCCTTTGTCCCGTTGTAAGCTTTAGCCATTGATCTTTGTAATTGATGGGGTTAGGGTGTACACTGGTCTGCTCCGCCAGAGTGATGTAACAGATTGATACATGAAGGGTTTTAGAGGGATTTATTTATTTATTTTTTTATGGTTGAGTTGGTCAGTAAGATGCTTACAATGCACTATCAAATTGATTGGAATGTATACATAAACCCTGGCAGACTGCATGATTAAAAAAATGACTACTTCTGTACAATGTCATACATTATGCCTATAAAAGATAAGTGATATGTCGAACGGTTCATGGTCCAATTTAATTGACATATTTTTCAAAATTAAAATGAATTTTGCATAAGCTAAATATCTGGATACTGACAAATATTTAACTGTACATTAATCCAAATGAAATTAAAAAAAAATTAATTAAAAAAAAGATGGTGCACTTGACTCAATTGGTCTGATTGATTGATTGTATGTTGTTTTACATCCCATTCGAGAATTTTTCACTCATATAGAGACATCCCCAGGCTCCAGGGCCATAAAACTTAGATGAACATTTTATCTCAGTCTCACTTTTCATTAAATATTCCTTTTGTAAAAGTGAGATTGAGATCAAATGTGCCAGATACCAGGTGAAGGGCTTCAAATTTAGACCTTTACTTAGCACTCAGGGCCATTGAGCAGTGAGGGATCTTTTTCGTGCTAAGTCTGCCATGACGCAGAGCCTCGGTTTTTAAGGTCTCATCCAAAAGACCTGCAACTTTGATTTTGCCCAAAAATGGACATCACATGGGTCATAACATTTTCAAATTAATGCATCATTCACCCTGAGAAATATCAACATCCTGATCTAGTGGCTGTATCTACCTGACATATGATATTTATCAAAAATTACATGTACCAGGTGACAGGGCTATTGTGGAAATAGATATGAGGATTTCAGACTTAGTTATTTCTGATTGATCTCGAGTGATTTATCAGCTGTATTTACAGAAGATAAACCAAAATGACTTCTAGCTATGTTAAAAAAAAAAAGCTTATATGAGGAACTTATGCAATTTGATCTTTGATTTTTAATCACACAAAAGTTAGTCATTTGAAAAAAAGAAAAACACGAAAATAACAAGGAAGAATATTTGTCATTCAGATAAAAAGGAAATTATTCAGTGACTTCATTCAATCCCTAGTCCATCCTCTAAAAGAGAGAGAGAGAGAGAAAGGAGGGAAGTGTCATTTCATTGATTTAATAAAGAAAAGTAAATGAGGGGCTAAGCTGGGAGTCAAACTAAAGTCAACAAAATTGTTAAGTGTAGTGTTCTGCCAATTAATCAACCTTAGGACATAAACTTAATCAGTCATATACATAGTGCCAACACAAATTTAAGGGAGGTAACTTAGCAAGATAGGAATAATGTTAACTCCAGTTTTTTGATACATAAATTCTGCAAGTGAGAAAATGTGAATGAAATAATCATTTATGGGTAATTTTGAGCCAGTCAGACCAGGGACGTAATTTAGGGTCTAGACCTATGTGTCAGAGAGGTGTTGTATGCTAATGAAGTTGTCGGTTGTCAGACGGGCAGTGCCTATGTAAGATGATTTGGACTGTGTCAAGTAAGCAAAAACCAGGTAATTAAGTCACCTTTGTTACATGTACTACCAGAGGTGAAGTTAGGTGACATTATGCATGGACAATCTGATTCATATTGACGATAATTGATGTTTGACAGAAAGTCGGACTATCAAATTTTTAAAAATGTATTTAATATGGACAAATATCCCAAGGGTATTGTCTGTTCATTGGTGTGGTGAAAGAAATTTTAGTCATGTCAAAAAAATTTACCCTACCACCAAAACTTGGCCACTTCTCAGTTGAATAACAGTTGAACTTTGGTTTCTCGAACTTTGATATCTCGAATAGTGTGGATATGTTGAAGTGAAGTGGAATTCCCAACCACCTTGTCTTTACAATTTCAACCTTGGTGTCTCAGATCCTTAAGTTTTTTTTTCCTGGTCCAATTGAGTTTGAGTGAACGACATACATGTTAACTCTACCGCTTTACATGGAAGTCCTGATCTGTTTTTTTTTACTCCATCTCCAGCTTAACTACTTTTTTACTAAATTCATTTTTGGTTAGCCAATGGGTAACCGTTTTGGAAGCCACAAAATCTCATTATAATGATTTTTAAAGATATTGCATGATTTGAACTGGGAGCATACAAATTTTTTTTACATACCAATGTTGAAATGGATTTCAAGCACACATTTGACAGTAACATGTGCACACAGCACAGAGAAAAAGGGAAATATAATATTCTAGAATCTGGATGAAAACTTTTGAGTTTGTTCATAAAAGTAAAAAAGGGAATCGACATTCATTTTTATACTTTTTTGCAACTCTTCTTTTGCTTTCAAACATCATGGTAAATACAAATCTTGTTAAAAGAAATTAGTTTTAGATCTGAATCATCAAATGACATCATTTGCTGTATTTGCATGGCAACTAAATGATTGCATCCAGGCTTATCACCCTTCAAAATTAAGGCTAAACAGGCACTAAAAGCTGTTGTGATGAGCATGAAAAATATTTCTTTGTATGTATTTAATGTTTTTGTCTATTTCATTGGAGTTGATATTTATTTAAATCATTGCAGATATTAGAGGCATATTTTCATGCATGTTTCAAAATGGAAGTGACAAAAAAGTCGCATGCAATGCTACCACTTTTGAGGTCTGATTCTCCCTCTTTTTCACCACAGTAGGTTAACATGCATGGTGGATGAGGTTTGACTATACTAAGGTTTATTAAAGGGCTTCATAATACATATAAAAACATGCTGTCAGAGTGAATGTTTTTTGGTGTTTATCAAAACTTATCTGTCTATGGAGATATTTGAATTGTGTTATAGTAATGCAGACTGAATCCTTCACTTCAATAATAAATAATTGATATTGAATTCTCCAGTTTACAAGACACCCAGACACCACCATGACCTCCACCTAAAATTGAAGTGTCTTTTGAGAAGACATGCACCTCTTTTTATCAATGGAATATAATAAAAGTTCTTTCTAATACACATTGCCAATTATGTTTTTACGTAAGAGTCTTCACAGTCAGACTAAATTGAAAATGCTTAAATAGGGTTTATCTTCATATTATAGCAGCATAAATAACTCCAGAAATCTTCTGGGTTCAATTTGGAAATATAAAAGTGCGGTATTGAGTAAATATCAAGTAAGAAATAATTCATACACTTAGAAACTGCACAATGCCCGTAGGTGTACGAGTAGTAAAATAGCATTTACTGGTTGCTGTGGATATGGCACAGTAAAAAACAAATAGTATGTCTGGTACGAGGTAACACATGTATTTATCTGGAGACAGTGACGCACGAGGACACTAGGATGTATTGATGGGTCTGAATGGATAAGATCATTGTTCTTAATACAACATCAAACTTTAATAAAACAGTTCACAAATACAGGAGGGTGAAATACAATACCACCATTTAACTTTGTTACATTGAAAATACCAGAATTCAAAGAAATTAACCTGCTGCTGAACAATGTTTTACATGTAGTTTCAATCAAAATCATGTATTTATGAATTAATCTAAAAAGTTACTAGATTGCATTTCTCCAAAAAATAAAATCAATTGCAATTCTCACACACTAGTGAATTAAATTATTAAACAGTGTATTTATGTAATTTTAAAAGAAACCAATTTGCTGGACTAGTGACTGACAATGTTGTAATCTTCATTATGAATTGATGTCATATACCTGAGTTTATTGACATCATCCAGTAAGTTTTAGTATTAGCACTATGATCATATAACATGTTTATATCACACCCAATAGCTCAGTGTGACATTTTTATACCTGCCTGTTCATCAGAATCATAGGGCACGGCCACATACGGATAAAAATAAACACCCTATACAAATCACATTCATATACTTATATCTAGATTCTATTAGGAGGTTGATTAATTAATGTATCGACTGCTCCCTGGACCCAGTACATTTGTTCCATATACTATTGAAGGATTTAGGGCCATTTGCACAATTATTTTTTGTAATCTAAAAGCAGCAAAAATTTTTAAATTTCATTTGCCATTAACTAAAGCTTATAGAGTAAAATGTTTATCGTTAGTTTAGTTAATTCTTTTCCATGTTAGCAAGTATATTGAATATATAGTATGACGATGTATTTGGAGATGGTGACATTCTTCCAATTTTGACTTTCCTGTAACTGATAAATCTTTAAAGATTTAGAAACTCTGTATATGTATTAATTAAATTAAAGCTTATAGAAATAATATAACAAATAGACATTCGATGACCTCATCGCAATATTTGTGACTCGCTTTTTGTGTGTAATTCTGATAAAAGCACTTTGTGGATGTAGTGAATAAAAAGTTAATTAAGATCTGAAAAAGTTAATAAATAGAAATATTACCTAAAACAAGGAATAAACTGGAAAAAAACAATGAGAATTATGTAAGAATGGACAGAAAAGGCAACAAGAAAAATGGAAAGAGGAAATATCAGATTATCTTAACAAAAGGTAGGACGTGTTCTCTAAAAGTCATTCAAAGCTTAGTTTTTGTTGTATTAATTCTTCAGAAGTAAAGCTAGAATGGGGGAAAGTTTGATAGCTTGAGGCATTGGGAAGACTCTCAGGTTGGTTAGAAGGATGTACTGTATGTACGTTGTGCAGCTGGTGATTTGATCAACTTTGTTCCTGCACTGTATATTGCATCAAATATCAGTTAACAATGCATATTAATGTTTGCATTGGGTGATTAGAAAAGGTTAATATATGTATTTTTTCCCATAGGCTTTGCTACCCTATAGCAATATGCAAAACAAATATTTAAACAAGGGAGGTAACTCTCTTCCCATAAATTTTCCTTCACTTATAAAGTACTGCTACGATTGAGAATTCTGAAAATTTGTTGAAAATGACAGCCCTCAAGCACTGTTTCAATCTTAAAAACAAAACAAAACAAAAATTCCACAAATGATATGATCATAGTGGCTTAAAAATGAAAGAGATAAAATGTCAGGTGAACCCGGCTACAAAACAGATGAGGTTATCCCTGTTTGTTTTCTGATAAGATGCTCATTTGTGCTTCATTGTTATGAGACAGAAGGTAAACAAAAGATAAACTGTTAGAAAGTGATTACAATTGACAATACTTGATAGCTTTATTTCAAAATTGAAATTTTAGTTAGGTAACATCTGGATTTTTTGGGCCAATTAAATGTTTTTAAACAGAATTTAATTATCTAACTGGTACTTTACTGGTTGAAAGCTGACATTTTTATAGATTAACAGAGGCCTAGACATATGTCACCTTACTCTGAAATATTGTAAAAGGCAGAAATATGTACAATGATTCAGGAGCATATAATTTCTTTTGTAATGGTTTGGGCCATGGATATCGGCCTGGGTAGCTCAGTCGGTATAGCACCTGACTAGTGATGCAGGGGTCTCCGGTTCGATTCCCGGTCCAGCCAAACATTTTCAGCTTTCCTGTTACAGATTTGGTGCCATTGACCACCCCTGGACTTGCAGGTGAAAGACCTGCCAGGGACAAATAAGAACTTGGGTTGTGTCTTCGAGGGCAAAGACAATTTAAGAAGGGAGGAATGTAATGGTTTTGGGCCGTGGATATTGGCCTGGGTAGCTCAGTCGGTAGAGCACCTGACTAGTGATGCAAGGTCTCGGGTTCGATTCCCAGTCCAGCCATACATTTTCTCCTTTCCTATTACACTTTAAACTAAATCAGAAATGTGAAGTGGGTAACTGAAATTTTGTATGATTTCAGTCAGAATAATGACAGAAATATTAATTTATCCCCAAAAATTGGAGTACCTGTATTTAATAAGTAAACTGATAACTAGTCAGAATGCATCAAGTTAATGTAAAAAAATCCAAGAACTAGGGGAAGGGTGGGGGCCTAAAGGGAGTGGGGGGTTAAAGCTGTAAATCCTTTTGTTTCTTGCTTTATACTGCAGAGCCTGATACTGTGTGTATGTACATTTCATAACTCATCAAATAAAAAAGATGAGGAGAGAAAGAAAGAAAATCTACGTAAATCACCCAGTGATTATTTATTGATCATGCTGTCTTTGATTTTCATTGAAAAATTTGATATGTATTGCATGTTCTTCAACTCGTCACGTAATAATGAATAAACTATATATTGAGTGGATCAATGCAAACAGTGCTAAGCCTCTTTTGGGTGTTCCTGTGTTAAAGAAGTCTAGAATCAATACATTATTCAAGGTGGATACATCTAAAAGACTTCTCTAACTGTTTAATAACATGATTTGGTCTGATTTAAGCATTCCAATCGTGAAAATATCAGGAAATCATTTTTCACTAAGTTGAAAGATACATTCATTTACCTGCCTTCTGAAAGCAATTTTTTTTGCAATTAAACCTGAGACACACTAAGTAATTGTGTTTTTGTTGCAGGAGAAGCAATATATGAAATAGCAGAAGCTCAAAAGGAAGTACAAGCCAGAGTTGAAGAAAATGTAGGTTCAATAAAGAGGTATACAGTTACTAAGAGTCAAATTTACAGTCAATTAAGCTTTTATACCTGTAGTGTAACAAAGAAGGATCAAGATTTGAAATGCTTTTTATGTGACCTTTAATGTAATTAATATATTCTAGCTAATTAAAATTCAGATGTCTTTTTCTAGGAATAAATTATAATACGTGCTGTATATCGTAGACAAGTTTTATTACAGAATGAAGTATAATAAATACAAAGTATAATATTTGGAAGTTTGAAATAAAGTGTGTCATCTGTAGACAGTCTGTTGCACTTTCAACTTCAATGTTGAAATGTGTTGTATACCCATTGGACCTATCTGCAGATCTGTGCTTGCTAGTCTGAAAAAATTGGGATGGACGACCAGAGATATACAGTGCCACCCATTGAAAAAAGTGTATATTTATTGCGCACAAAAAAAGTGCGCTGTTTCTCAATACGCAACAAAACATCCCCTGTAAGCATTGTTAATAGCCCTCCTGGGCCTGAAATTAAGATCATAGAAAATTCTGCCTACTTGTACTCCTATTTTGGGTGGCAACACAATTCAGTCCAACATGCTTCATGCAGATGTCCACTGTGAAAGTAGTTAATAGAGGTCAAAGGAATTGTTTGAAATCAAGCTTTTGTGCAAATGAGGTAAGGATATAGAGTACTAAATTCAGAACTGAATGCAGCTTTTTTTTGTACAAAAAATGTATAATTTTTTTTTTAGAATGGCACTGTGGCTCTCTGGTCTGTCAATTTATTTTTTTGCTGAGACATGATACAAGGTTTAAACAGAAAGAAAGGGAGCTAGGACATAACATGTATTGTATGGTTGTAAAATGATATGCTTCCTACATGCACACCTTTAGTTGCTATTTTCTTTTGCAGTCCAAAGCCTTGTTCACAGAACTCATCTTGCCATTAGAACAGAAACTGGAGAATGAATTCAAAAGATCATCGGTAAATATTTTATCAATTTCCAGTGGATACAATAGTTACACGTAGAGCTGCATACATTTAATTTAGAGATCACGGCCAGATTATGCAACAACCTGATGACGAATAAACCATAGGTAGCAAATAGCAATCTAAGAGAATAATTATGCACATCGGATGGGCTTGTCTAGCAAAATATTTGGTTGTTACTAAACACAGTCAAAATATACAACCATAGATAAAGTACACCTATTGAGTACAGCATAATGAATCACTCAGTTATGTGTAGGGGTAGAGGGTGGCCCGGTGGACTTTAACTAAGAATAGTTCAGTTGGGTGGGAGTAAAGAATATTTACACTTTGGGTCTTAGATTCGAACAAAATCTGGTTTATCCCTTTGCAAACAATGCAAAGCACCTCTTGACTTTCTCAATTCATGAACACAAGTGTTAAATTATACTTGTCTGAAAATTTGATCAGTGCCTTTTCATTCATCTTGACGTCTTGAAGTACAACATTTGTAAATTTAAACACTTTTTACTTTCATATGCTGCAAATGTACAAAATTTTGTTGCATTCACAACTTTTTGAGTTTTACTAGGTCCCGTCATCAGCAATTTGCTATTTTTCAAGTTATGATTTTTTCTTAAAATTCATAATCAGCTGAAATATAACTTTTAAACTTTGAACTTCTGGCACCTAATTGTTTTACTAGAATTGCTTCAGTATGACAGTACAATGCTAAAACAGTGTTTTGGTAAAGACTGGGTTTTCTGAACAAACCTTGATAAAGAAACTATTGCACTCTAGCAAATGATCTTTTTGATTGTACAAGTATTGCTTGGACGTGAAAGAGGTCAATTTGGGCACTGACTTATATTATGCAGATAAATTATTTTGAGATATACATGATTTATAGCATTTTTTCACAGGTAAACAACAAATTTCACCACAAACTATGAAATAGTGATAAAGACACTGGTTTTATTAAATCAATACATTAGTTTTCTAAAGACGCTTTACAGACATTTATAACATAACATATCCATAATAAATAAAAGCGATGCCAGTTTTTCTGTGATATCTACATTGTGGAAGATCAATCACGTACTGTTTAAAACAGTAATATATGTCTTTTTCAGTCACAGTACAAAAAATATGCCACCGGTCACAAGGTTGTGTTTGCTCCGTACAGCAAGGCCACAGAATCACTCAAAAAGTTCCGCAAAAAGAGTCGAAATAAACCAGTGTTTGAGGAGCAAAAAGAAGCTCAGGTAAAAGTCCATGTGATAATTTATCAGTAAAACTCTTTATTTATTTATTAATATGTGAGGAAAAAAGAATATAATCGTTTAATTTTGGACTGCATATTAAAACAAGGTTATATTCAACCTTACTCATTTTGGCAGTTACATTTCATGACCTTCAGTAATATTTTAGTACCGGGTATTTTGTCGTAGAACTTTGGTGAAATAAGCGAGTCTGACTTTGTTACCGGCAGGGATCATCTCAATTTTAACAGTGATTTCTGTGATTGTTCCATTTTTCAAAAAGTTTGTGCTTCAATAAAATTTGCAGAAAATAAAATAATGAAGTTTACACATCCTCTAACTTTATTTTAGCCACATTGACTTGGACCACAAAATCAAAAGCACTCATATTTTATTTCTAACATCAAAGAATTAAATTGCCAAATATTTACTTGTTGCATATATATTGAATGGGTTTTGTTGTTGCATCTAATGTTAGGGAAATTTCATTGTTGTGTTTTTGAGATATATTTTTTAATTGAATCTCACAGTGTCCATGTGTACAATAAGTTCTCCTCAAAAGTATCTTTGCATTGATAATTGCATTTGTACATTTTTTTCAGCACATTAAAACATTAGAGAGATGTCAAGAGAAGTTAGATGAATTCAGACTAAGTGGACTAAAACTGGTAAGATGGATTACAGCACTGGACTTGATCAAGTAGAAGTTTATTTGTTTGGAAGTCTATAAACTCCCCGTGTCAGACCTTAGAGATTTTGAACATTTTATGAAGGACCCTTCTAGTGATAATGTGATCTGAATGTCTCTCATTAGATATTGAGGCATTATAAATTTTTGTTATATTGTTCAATATTTAGAGTTATTATGATGTCCCTTTCAGTTAACTCTAGTTTTGCTTCTAGTCAACTTATAAAATACAGGTATTCAATGATGGAAGGATAAAAAAAAAATTTTAAAAAAAAGAGTTCATTCTCCATTAAATATAATTCCAACCCTTATAAACCATTAGGTAAGGAATTAAAAGATATGGTCTAGTTTTGGCTAGCTATTCTAAGTAAATTTATAATGTTGAAAAATGATTAGAACTTTCATGTCTATATTATTTCGAATTGTTTTAAAAAATCTGCATTACTTGTAGGCTCTTTTAGAGGAAAGGAAATGTCATTGTTTTTTATTGGATCGACTAAATACCATGGCAACATTGTACGCCAATCACCACAAACAGGTGAGTTATTGTATTCTTTAGTTTACCTGTCGTTAATTTTAGGTGAAAGACTCTATAAATATAGCTCATAAAAAAAGGTCACTGTTTGCCATTAATAATTTGTGTTGTTCTTGGTACTTGAGTAGCATGTGAGCTACTTGTGTTTGCAGGTTGACTGTATATGGTTAAGCACATTTGTGCTATTTTGCATAATTGTTCGTTCATAATATATATATATATAGCACAAAGAAATTCACTTTTATAAAGATACCCACTTCCGCCCCAACCCGGGGTTGAACTCTCAACCTACGGAATCTGTCTCCCAGCAGTGCAGAAACAGCGCACTAGACTGCTCAGCCATCTAGGCAAGTCAAAAAACTTGCTTTCGATGCCGATGGAATTCTCGCGGCGCTGCCCTACACTACACGGTCATTGAGAATGGAAGTGAGATACAGTTACTTAAACATTAGTTTTATCAGAGGATCGTTACCAATACATGTTGTATTGAAATTAATTCATATTTATAAAGCACATTTTACAACAACTCTTAAACTAACATAACTGCCCTAAGTGAGGAAATATTGATATAGAAAGCACAAAGAAATTCACTTTTATAAGGATACCCACTTCCGCCCCAACCCGAGGTTGAACCCTCGACCTACGGAATCTGTCTCCTAGTAGTGTTCCTGCACTGCACTTAATCACTCTATCATCCTATAAACAAGGGATGATAGAGTGATTAAGGATTAATATATAAATTATAGTCTAACAGTTATTGATGAATCTCTTTCAATCAATCAATATTCAAATCACCTACAAATTATAATTTCAAGAGAAGAGTTATCCCCCTTAAAACATTTTTTTTAATACATTCTCATTGCCATTATTTATCTGTGTCCATATAATATTACAATAAATTCTCATTATTTTGTTAAATTCCAGTCAGCAGAGACATATATGAGAGGACTGATAAAGTGGAAACAGCTCTCCATCAAACCTCACATCCTACCACCGGAAGCTAACCGACTCTTAATGATTCCAGTAAGAATATTACATCTTAACCAGATCAATTATTGTCATCTGATCTGGTGTCATTCAGAGAGATAATATGATCTGTTCGTTTCAAACTGCTTTCAAGTGGATGGCATATCTATGTTGCAATAAGTTAGCTAGTGACTGAACAGTTGTATGATAATCTTTTATCTTGACTTCCAGTATTTTGTTGGTTTTGTTCTGCTGAAATTTTTGTGAATTTTTCATCCTGAAATTATAGTTCTATGCTGATGTCAGATTTCAGAATTTATACAATTACTTGGTAGGTTCTCCTGGTGGATTATGCTCTTAAGAATTGTGAAAATCAATATAATTAATATATATACACTCAAACCAAGAATTGGATGCAGATTGGCAAAAATCAAATTATGCTAAAGCAGTTGTCTTTTGAAAAAAAAAGTCACAGGCTTCGGCTTGTATTATTATGAAACAAGGCATATCAGTTTTAAAACCCATAATACTCTTTCAGGGTGCTTTTCATGAAGCATATGCATTATGTAGCAAGATCCAGCATCGATCTTTCTCCGAAATACAATACAAAGCTGCATGAATGTTGGTTTTCAATAATTGCATAATGATAATTAAATCTTTGAAATAATAAGTATGGTTGGTTATTTATGGAAACTCTTTCAGGATCATGACCATATGAGTGAAATGAATGGAGGAGTATACAGAAATGATATTGAGACCAGATCATTGGGCAGTCCCTATAAACGGTCACAGAGTGTTCATGATGTCTATAGACGCCCGATTCCTGTACAGTCAGACACAGCCTCAGACACTTACAGTGAGAACCATATATTCAGTACTTAATATATTTATAGTTGGTCAGATTTCATTGGAGTCTCAATGTTTCAACTTGAAATTACCTGATACATATGTACTTAAGTCATATTGTTGAGAAAGTTGTCATGTTAAGAAGTTATCCAGGTAAAAAATTTTCCAGGTACACATAACTATCTAGAACATAGAAAGTATCTAGTAAAGCAAATATTCATTGACCACATAGGTGACATATCCATATAAAAAAATTATCATTTTTTTCATTAACAGCCAGGACCTTACCCCATGGCAGAGTAGTTCCCCCACCTCCCCCTATATCTGGGCTCCAGGTCAGAGCTGTGTACTCTCATGATGGGGATGGGGACACTAAAATGTCCTTCATGGAGGGGGACATCATCAACATTTTGGGAGAGAAGTCTTCTGATGGCTGGCAGTATGGTCTCAACACAAATGCTGGAAAGTAAGGACTTTGTCAGTAGCAGAATGATGTCAATAGCTTTATATTTACTGCATCTATTGATGTAGACGTGTTAAATTATTGTGATATTTCTTATTCACATGTGTCATAATCTTATTTTTTTCAAATTTAAGTTACACATTTTCATAGGGCTTCAATGAACTTGTAGTAAAAATGTTTTTATTTCAGATATGGTTGGTTCCCTCTGTCCTTCACAGAACCTTTCCATATGCCTCCAACACGGAATGGACATTCCATGTAAGATAAGTCTCCTCAAACAGAATTATCAGGAGTAAAGGGAGATTACTCTACAATCCTTGTAATGAATGACAATTGTGCTTAGAGTTAAAGATGATATTTTAGAACTTAGAAGATGAAGAGATTTTAAAAAAGTTATGGACCAGAAATCAATGTTGCACTGCATTATTTTTCTCTTATAATTCCAGGATGAATGGTAGAGTAAAGAGTATGGGTGATTTGTTGGATGACCCGTCCGATGCTGATGGGTATTTCATGGAGCACAGCATGCCAGGAAGTGCTCAGAGACCCAAGTCCCTGTATGAAGGGTCGGGCACCAGATTACCAGGAAATAACAGTCCTCTACCCATGAGGGTAAGGGAGACAAAGAAATGAATGTTACTTTACCCCTTATATACAAATTCTGATTAAAAACAGGATTTTGGACAAAGTTCAAATATTAAAAAATACAGCTATCAACTTATTATTTTCATGATAATTAAATGGCAATTTAATTGAAATATTTTAAGTGTGAAATATTACTGCATGAAATTTTGTCTTTAAAAATTACACTTGTATGCTGCTGTGCTTTATAATTTTCATTTGTGTAGTTTCCTGGTACACATGGAATCTCTAGCTTTAGTTCATTCATGTTAATTCAGGCACTGCTTTCTGCTTGATCAATATTAAACATGTAGACTATCACAGGAATATGTATTCACCATTCCATAACTTTTCAGTCACAAATCCGCCACCCTGGGTGGACTGGACAACATCCTGGTCTAATGGGCTCTTATTCTTTACCACGTCAATTCACAGGGCAGGGGGCATATATGAGCTCTGATATGGACCACATATACCACTTTTTGCCCTCAGACCATCAGGTATATCGCCTGCTGGAATGTTGTTGATGGACCTATACCTTTTAACTTAACAATTGTTTGATTGGTGTGTATGTAGGGGTTGCATGCTTAAACAATGTTTATACTAACTGGATTTGTTTTGGGATAAAACATGGCTATACAAGATTTGTCAACCTTATGTAAAATAAATCAAAGTACATTACATACGGATACAGTACTGAAAGATGGGGCCAATTTAATTAAGTTCATGATTTTGTAAACTTCACCACTGTTGTAGATTTTGATGAGTTATGATACTAGCTTATAAAAAAATTAAGAAAATTGAAAACTAATATGAAATTAAGAGGCAGTCCACCGAAAAACCAGGCAATGGGTGGCACATCGCATGTCATGGATTTTAATTATTTTTTGCATGTAGACTTATTAAAGCAAGTGTTTACACATGACAACATTCAAAAAATTTTAGTGCTCCTCTAGCCCTATTTTTGGTAAATGCTTAATTTTAAGTGCAAAAAGGTCAACATAAGGGTAAAAAAAATTACTACGTTTTTATTTTGTTTTATATGTAACAGATACTCAAAAGCTGGATGTGTGGATGAATATTATTTATAGCATAGACTCTTATCTTTTATTTTATTAATGAATAAGACTCCAATTTATACTTCTTTAGAAAAAATTATATGGTCCAAATTTGAGTTAAGCAAGTAACTTTTTGAATTCAGTATCCAATTTTCATTACGTTATAAAACCCAATACATTACAAGGACAGATTTTTTTTCTTATGTTATTATGAATACAAAGTACAAACTTTTGAATCACTCAATAAAATCAGTGGGAACAGGTATATTGAAAGAAATAAAAGGAGTCAAATTTACCTTTTTTTTTTTTTTTTTTTTAATAATTTTCCCAAATGAAACCGATCCCGACCGGAATTATATAAAGAAAAAAATACTATAATTGTAATGTTAAATTTGGCTCTTTTGTTGTAATATGAGTAAAAACTTACTTGATTTATTTTTTTTAACATGTTATATAGGTGGCAGGTGCCTTTAGTTTGATAACTTTGTTAATTTTTCATTATTTTCCATCGGATCGGGATCGGTTTTTACTGTAAATTTAGAAACATTTCCTAAATTTGGCTCTTCATTTTAATTTATCAGAAAAATATGCTTGTCTTTTATTTCTTTTCAGTCAGTTAACTGTTTTTAAATGAGTGTAACCATAGATTCAAATTTATATATTATTTAAATTACTAATGTCTTTTACGTACATGAAGATTACATGTAAAACATCTGATTGAATTCTTAATAGATACTCGGTATTTAAAAAAAAAAGTATTTGTACATGCATTATGCAACAAATGAGAGCAGACAGCTTTCTAGCTTTATTATTTATCTTATTTCCAAGTAAAATTTCTTTTTTTTTTATTTCCTCTGGAATTAAAGAGTAAATTCTATCAGTGGCGAAATTAAACTTGCCTAAATACAGGAAATATTTTTATGTGTACAGTCTCGACTTTATCCAAGTTTTTTCTTACCTGTCATCTGTAAAGCCTTTTCCTCTTTTACAAAATTTTATTTTATATAAATAAGAAAATAAGTTCTTTCATATATAGTATCATTATTCAAGAGCCGATAAATCGCAAGCAAAAAGCAGGGGGGGGGGGGGGTGTCATGACATCATTATTTATAAAAATTGGTTTCATGAACGTGAAAACATTTTAGAATTGGCCTACATAGTCACATGTTTAAACTCCATATTAAATGTGAGTGTGTGATTGTTTCAATCGCCAAATTAAAAAAATAAATAAGTAAAAGAAAAAAAAAGAAATGTTTCCCTAAACCATCTTCCGTTTTAGAGCCAAATTATAGTGGGGAGTTCAGCAGTAGTTTAACTCAATAAATATATTTTTATAACTTATTTTTCAGGGTTTTTTTTTTTCATTTTTAATCGTACTTCGGATTGTTTATTTTGATTTGACTGCATAGATAAATATATTTAAGTTTTTACAAATATCATGAAGTAAACATCTCAACTTCGTTGAATTAAGTGTTGCGTAAATCTAAAACATTCATCATTGATTCCCAATTCTATAAGAAATGTTCATGATAAACACTTCATTAATTATTTTTACGCATATCCTAGTAAATCAGTTGAAAATTATTAGTTCTCAGACATGTATAAAATTACTTATCAAAACGTCATCTAGCTGAGACGCCGCCCGTGTATAAAATACATTTTGATATTAAAATATTATTTAACATTTAGAATAATGCACTCTGAAGAGTAATTAAACAGAAAAAGAGAAATAATTTTTTTTTTAAATCTTTTTCTTTATACTTTTACGCAAAGAATTTACAAACTTCTCTGGAAACTTGTAACTATTTCATTGTGACGCAATATTAGTCAGGTATATGACGTCACTGATACATCAATGGAAACGTGGATTCAACCTGAATAATAGAGCCAATTTTAATCTAAATATTACGTCTGGAGGCGAAAATGAATTATATTTTGAAAATAAATTATTTAGTTTTTTGTTTAATTATTTTCTTTGGTGTATCGATTCTAAATATTTCACTAGGATTCCGATAAAAAGGTGTTGAGCAGATTTACCGATGCCACGGGAGATAACTCTTGCATCACAAAATTTCATAAAAACGTCCTTATATTTTGCCAGAAAACTACTATCAAAAGTGTTTTTCCCACCGATTTTATTTTTTAAACAAAAAGTTGAAATATTTCTAGATTTAGTTAAGTGTGAATTATAGTCCTGTTAAAAATGTATTAGAAATTACAGTTCTTTGTTTCTGACCTACATTCAATGGTTTATATAGGGGCATTCAAAAACACAAAACACAAGGATATTTTACTAAATAAGCAATTATCAAACAAATCTTCAATTACATTATTCCTTTTGGGCTACATTGATATTGTTTTTAATAAAATATCAAATATTTCTCACATTCGATGTGCCGCCTATTAATACAATACTGCCTGGTTTTTCGGTGGACTGCCTCTTAAAACATGAACATTGTAAACAAAATGTTAGATTGTGAATCTATATTAGATTTTTAATTGAGGGGCCTGCATTGTCTGAATTTAATTTAACAAGTTCAGAATTAATCTGACACTCCTTGAAGTAAACAAACATTGATGCAGTCTAACATTATGCATCCTAGTACTTTGTATACATATAATGATTTAATTTTTTTTAAAATGTTTCACCAGTATTTATGATTTTTGTAGAAAAATCTTCAAATTGCTTTCTTTTGTTTGATTAACATTGTGTCTTTCGACCAAAGCAACATCTGCATTCTTTTCTTTAACTTAGATTCAATAGGTGAGCTACATGTATATGGCACAACTTCTGTTTGAGGCCTCGACTGACAGTAAACTAATAGACCCCATCTAAAAAACTAGAAAATAAACACTAACTAAAAATAAATATATAGGTATTTTTGTGTGGTTTTTGATCACTTTTAAAAAAAAATAAAACTGACTATGTTACGTTTAGGTTTGGATTGAGAACAAATGATATATTAAGCTCTTCTAGCACATAATTAATGTTGTTAATCCTTTTAAAAATAGACTTTCAATCCAGAGAACAATTTTAATCCTTTTCTCTGTTAAATGTTGTTCAACTAAATATTGTTTAATTACAAGAGTTTCTACCTTTTTGAATACTAAAGAATTGGTGAATATTAACAGGAAATAATCTTATCAGAGTTATAAACTTAACTGGTGATAGTTTTTTATTTTTAATAATACATGTATCAGTGTTTTTTTTTTTCTGAATTTTACCTCTTTGTGTACAGCAACCTGGAGAGAAAGCACCGAATGTTCATCACCAGGACATCAATTATTCTAGAACTGAGGCCAGGGGCAATAACCCCCCATCTCCCCCTCTGCCCCCACCCCCATCACCTCTTGCCTCTAAACAACCCTCCCCAGGCAATGGCACACCCTCCTCCTCACTTTCTTCAGCATCACCCAGTTTAAATTCATCCCACTTATCAGAATCTCCTGCCAGAAGAAACCCTGCATCTCAAAACCAGAAAATCAACCAATCATCTTACACCATCCCACCAGCACCTCTTCCACCTCCCACTTCTGCACCAATCACAAACACTCTTGCTTCAGCTGCACAGTCTGATACTTCAGTTTATCACAATTTATACCAGAACACCCAGGGAAGCATGCCAGGGTATGGTCACATGTCTCGTCAACAACACAGCATTCCCCCACCCCCTCCTCCCGCCCCACCTGGGCCCCCTCCCATTGGTGGACAACAACGCAGAACTGCAATGAATTCTGGGACAGATGAAGAGGATTCAGAGTAATACACAAAACATGTATTTACGTTTAGAGTCGCTGAAGTCTTGACCATTGTGTCATAATAAAATTCTTTGTACATGCATTTTTATAACAAGAATACCTTTTATTAAACACTGAAAATGCACAAATAACATAATACATGTAATAACATGCATCTCAAAACCAGTAAAGATGTGGACATGAAAAATAGTCTTATAAAATTTTTCCCACCTCAGAGACTTGTAGATACTTTTTTAATTTTTTTAGTAGGAGTAACTATAATTTATTAATACATGTACTTGTAAATTCATTGTTCAGTTCATTTGGGGGTGAGCATGGCATGTTTGAAAAAGCTACATGTAAACACCCACTTTATTTCTAAATTGCATGTTGATACTAACAGAAAAAAACTTCAGTGCTTTAAAATTGTCATCATTTCCCAATAAACAACCATCTACTAATTGTTAATATCACATAAAACCATACCTGTTTTAATTGCATGAGGTGTTTTGATCAATTTACTGCAGTAAAGAAAATATTAGATTATATCAAAACAAACTAACAAGTACATTTGACCAAATCAGAATATAAAAAGTAGCTGCTAAATACAACATATAAAATAGAAATGAGATATATATGTATGTCAATTAGTAGTGTTTATATATGATTTTATATGTATTAATTTGATATAGCATTTAGATAGCATAAATGTATTGTTTTAAAGTACATGTAATATACAGAATTTATATATAAGATGTATTATGTGTTGGAATTTTGTTTGTATGTTAAATGGATATGATAATTCTCTTTTAATCCTGTTTTTGACAGTTTCCAAAGAAATCCTAAATTTGCCAATGTTAGTTTGAGGAGAACTATGACAAACGACAGATCCAAGCCACGATTTTAGTTCACAGATGCCACATGGGATAGAAAGATAGAAATATCAACTTGCAGAACAAACTCATCATATTTTTACTGAACAAAAATCTTTTTAGCTGTATATGATTCTCTTCTGTGTATCAATATTTCATACTTTGTATTTTATCATATTGAGATTAGTTGTTTTGAATGCTTCCAATTTTGATCTATGCTGTAAAAATAAGGTTCGTACATTAGCATTATGGTCACAACAGTTTGCCTGTTCTCAGTGTTTCCCACATATGTAGGAAATATTTCTTTGGTTCTTGATTCCAAACCTATAATAAACAAAACGAAGTATGTAATCAGTTTACATAAATGATATTTACATAAATGATATTTCAGACATAAATTTCACAGGTAACAAATTTCAAGTGCTAATATTCATTGAAGTCCCCTAAAATTTCCGTAATTTTTTTTTCTTCGTATTAACTTTAACTTGATGGTTATACCTTTTTGCATGGTGGTATTATGATATTCATGAGATGCAGTTGTAAATATATAGTATCCATGTACTGTCACTTGTCTTTAGAAAAAGTGTTCAGATACGTTTCTGGCTCCTGGAATGTGACTCAGGGATAAAGAAATGGTGCATGAAATACATTTCATAGGAATTCACAAAATTTCATATTTTTTTTATATATACAGGCAGGTACACATTGTGATGTTTAAGTTGTTCAGCCTACAGATATGTATACACATAAATATGAATATTTAAAGTTATAACTATATGTATTATGTTATTCATTTATTCAAATGAAGAATAAGCACATTTTTACATGCATGGAATTCATTTAAATTACAGGTTACCTACGACTTAGTGTTGTGAAAATGAAGGTGAAATGTTTTGGGGTACTTGTAGTTTTTTCTTCTCGGACACATCAAGAAAAAGGGATTGTGCTGACCTAACCCCTTTATCTAAAATTTTAAAAAGTCTTGACAGATTCTTCCCCTATTATGTTTTATTTTTATATATATTTATATATATACGTTATGGATTTTTTTAATCTTGCACTTTGTGAAACATAGCTTTGTTGCAGCCTCATCTGTTTTCAATACATATATATGTAAATATATGCAAAAACTAAACTTGCACAGACAAGCTGTAATTCATATGTTACAAACTGTTATCAACATATATCAAATATTACCTGTTTTATGTTATTTCATAAAATCTTATATATCTTTGTGAAGAATGCGTGGTTTGTTGACTATGGTGTATGCTTGTACATAGATTGCTGATTGTTTTGGGGTCACCCGAGTCACTTGGTTGACTACTTGCTATCTGTTTTTGTTCATTGTGTGTCATCCATTGACCATCGTGTGAGGGTCATAAACTTTTGAACATTTTTAGCTTCTTCTCTGGCTGAAACAATGTCAACAAATTTTGGTATAAGTAGCATCTATGAATAATGGGAAATAAATAAGGTGAATTTCAAGGTCTCAGCTGCCTCCATGGGGCCTGTGCAGTGGGGCCAAAAATGGGATCTTCGAAAAACATAAATTCATGGCCCCTTAGTTCAGACTCTAGGGTAGGACTTAATTGGTCATTTATTGAAAATGCATTATAATCTTATAAAATCTTATCAAAAGTAAAATTCATACTTATTGATACATGGTTTAGGGCCTATGGTGGGGTTTAGTTGGACATATAATGAAAATACAAGTATAATACATCTGTGAAAATCTTTTTTGCTCAAGTAGGCAAACTGTTGCATGATTTAAATGAAATTTTAGCTTTCTACCAAAATTATGAAATTTATGACTCCCTGGCCCATGGTTCAGGCCCCAGGATGGGGCTAAGTTGGTCATGTATCTTGAAAAAAAAAATTACAGCTTTAAAAATCTTTCTCTTACTCATGAGCAAGAACTAGTATCGGGCAAATTGATTGCAATTTCATTGTGAATATTGGAACTCCTTTCAAAAGTATAAAACTAATGCTTCCTGGGTTTAGCATTCAGGCAGGGTAGGGTTAAGTTGGTCTTGTATTTAAAATACATTACACCTTTGAAATCTTATTTACTCATAGACATCTGGCAGTCAAACTTTTGCCTGATTATAATTAACACAAGCCCTCTTCCAGACTTGTGAAATTTATGGTCCCAGGACTCAAGGTAGGACTGAGTTGGTCTTATATTAAAAGTAAATTCATCTTTGAGAATCTTTACTAGTGATGATCATGTAGCAAGCAAATTTTTGCATGATTTTAGTAAGCATATAGCCCTCTTCAAATATTATAAAATGTGTCCCATGGGGACCAGGTATCATGTTGCAGGATAGTCATACATTGAAATTTTTATACGTTGTACATTATCTTACACCTGAACTTCCAGGAGGCAAACTTTATGGATATGAGTTCTGACCAAAATGTTGAAGTTTAGTCACATAAGATGAGACCAGTTCAGGTGGGCCCAAAGTCGTCATGAACTGAGAAATTCATGATACTCTAGTGATCTTAAGGCCATGGCCGTAAGAACCGGGGGGGGGGGGGCGTGCCCCCAATAATTTTGCCATGTATAGATTACTATAGAAAACATAGCTACTATATGCTCGGCCCCTCAATAAAAACGTCTGATGACCTTTTTTATTTGTTTTTTGCTCAAGGAATTTTTAGTAGTTGTTAGTGCCCGCAACTAAAAATGTATGCCCCCCCCCCCCACTTAAATTGCTTCCTACGGACCTGAAGGCCCATGGGCCTCTTGTTTTTCTTGAAGTCCCTGACAATGTATTCTTTGGACTGCAAGTTCACTCAAATCAATTTGTGATCAATTCTTAATGAGTCTCAGTTTTACAACCCTGGATAAGTGTGCTAGTTTTTCTTAATTATCTAAAGTTGACAGATTTCATCCCAAATCTCAAATAGTCTCTCTGGTGCCAATCCATGTACTGTGAACACATACGGTGTCTTGTACCAACAAGGGTGCTTTGATTTAGGGTTGTAGTGGTAAAACCATTTTATCTTCGTCGTGTTTAAATTTAACTGTTCTAAACATAGACCAATATATACATCCTCTAGTGGGAAGAATGGAACGTTTTCCGCGATTTCATTGATCTTTTTTACCACCTTGAATGACGTCACGTACCCAGTTCCACTGCAAAATGGCGGGAAAACTTCCTTGCTGAATAAACTTTCTGGTATGTAATACTTGGACCTTGGGTCTCTATGAGGCTTTTCTTTATTCATACAGTAACCTCCGATATGTGTTTCCAAGATCCGCCCATACTTTGGTAGCAAAATGGACAGAGTATTTGACACATGAACCCACATATCGTCGTCGGTTTTCATGACGTATTTGGTCGTTGCGCAGGCTTTAACTGTCCACTTGATGCCCATCCGCGTTTTCAACGTAAGGTTCCCGTAGGTGTCAAGGAAGGTTCCTTGAATGATGTCTTGATTTCTTTCGTTTTCCTCATAGATCATATCATTAACAGAACCCTTTGTAGATAACCCCAACAAAAAGACATACTTTACAAAACCCCTTTGGGTTTCAGTAAAATTTAACCACGTTCTCCGCAAAGCGTTGCGTTGGTTGAATCCCTCGGTTGCCGATGCTATAAGAAACAGAAGCTCGGTGGTATTAGTACATATACCAGGAGTTTCGATGACATAGTCGTAAGTGTATTTGAAGCAACCATTGCACGTAAGGTTTCTAATTAGAACCACTGGCGTACTTCGTTGGTAGGCAGATATGTCCATTAGTGCAGTGCTCCAAGAATTATGCACCCTATCTATTTGTACATTTCTGTCATCACCAATACCCTGCACTGGATTGTTATTCCTGAGTTGGTCCAATCCGAAATTTTGGACATGAATTAGGGAAATATTGGTTCCTAGAAATGGGTTTATTATAACAATGGCATGAGATTTAAAATACCGATGTGTAAGAGTGAACACTGCGAACAAAATGAAATTAATAATCACAGCGACCAGTAGTCCGTATTGCAGATATGTACCAATCGTTGTTTTTGCTCTCCAATGTATCATCTTTACAACAATTTTTAATGCAAGAAGGAAGTTGGTATAAGGTTAATCCATAGACGTCTATATCAAGCCACGAATATGTAATTGTCGCTAAAATTCACTAGAAGTGACTGATAAAGGACAGGTTAAGAGATATAGGTCAGTCAGATGGATCAGCAAAATGATGACTTTTGTAGAACTCTACAGGACAAGGTTGAAATGGGTGTGATACAGAAATAATCGCAAGTGGGTTGAGGAAGTAAAATTGAAGACATAATCAATGTTCATAAGCGAATTTACAATGTAGGGGTATAGTCTGATACTTCGGAAAATAGGTATATATTATAAAAAAAGAATTTCTAGACGGTCACATTGTACATCAAATAAACAGCAAGAGTAACAAGATGTGATTGTGAAACATTGATGCCCCCTAATGGCAGCTCTTGGCGAAGGTTAAAGTTTCTCAAATGCAAGTCAAACTCCAAGGTCAGGAATCACAAATGTTGGTGCCCAAAGAAAGGTTTTGTCAATTTAAGGAATACTCCTGTGAAATATGAAAACCCTTGCAGCTACCATTAAGAAATTATGGTCAAGGTTAAAGTTCATCAAAAGTAATCCAATCACCATGGTCAACATCATGAGGTCAAGCATCAAGCATTCAAAACTTATGGCCAAGATGAATGTTTTTCAAAAGAGGGTCAGGCTCTAAGGTCAAGGTCAAAATTGTCGATACCCAAGAAAAGTTCTTGTCGAAAAGAATATATATGTGAAATATGAAAGACCTAGCACGAACCGTTCAAAAGTTGTGGCCAAGGCTAATGATTTTTTTAAAGTATTTCAGCTTCCAAGGTCAAGGTTAAAAGGGCAAATTTCTTGGTACCCAAGGGAAGTTCTTTTCCCCTGTGAGGTATGAAAGACCTGCTCCAACCATTCAAAACTTATGGCCAAGGTCAAAGTTTTTCAAAAGAATGTCAAAATCCAAAGTCAAGGTCATAAGGTTAAAAATATTGTATTTTAAGAAAGATTTTGTCACAAGGAATACACTTGTGAAGCATGAAAACCCTAGCACCAACCGTTCAAAACTTAAAGATTAAAGTTTGATAAAAGTTTGCAAAAAGTGGGTCAAACACCAAGGTCAAGTTCAAGAGGTCAATTATATTGGTACCCAAAGAGAGGTCTTGTCATAGGAATACACACGTGAAATATGAAAGCCATAGCTCCAGGAAGGCTAAAGTTTTTGCGGACAAACAGACAGACAGATGGACGGACAGAGCAAAATCTTCGATTATGGGGGCATAAAAATATAATAAATGCTCTAAAATAAATACTGAATAGCCTGGTCTGAGGTGTGCATCGTATGTGCAGTTTTATGCCCTGAATTTATGTTTGTCGTGTGTAGTAAATAATGAGTTGATTATCTCTGATTTATTTCTTAACATATTGTCAGCGCATAGTAAAGTTCCTGCAAAGTCAAACTCAATCTCAGAATGTTGACAAGTGCCTTATTGGCTTTGTCAATCATCAATTCAATAAGAATGTCACAGATTTTTTCCCCATAAGAAGTAAAAACGACGTAAACGATTCCTTTTCTCAAAATAATAGGCGGACCAAAAAAAAGAAAGAAAGAATTAATTCAGTTCCAAGCTAAGAAGACAATTGAAAAGGGTTAAATATGACTTGCTTTCATGGCATTAAGAGTAAAATAAGAGGTATGTTTCATGTTGAGAGTAAATATAACAGTTTTGAAAATGAGAGCGAAATGGACTTTATATCAACGGATGACAATCAACTGAAATCTATATTCAAAGAGGAAAGTAGTGACACTGCTGATGGTAAAATCACGGTCTGGCAGGCTGGTTGGAATATCACCAATGCAATCCAGGTTAGTTCTTCTACCGTTAGTTACTATCCCTTGACTGCTCTGTTCGATCTTTTTTAAACATTAAATTGGAAAAAATACCCTCTTCATAAATAACGCGTCTACTCTTTCATGAATTTTTAGGGGATGTTTATAGTAAGCTTCCCGTACGCTCTTCAACAAGGTGGATACTGGACTCTTCTAGCAATCTCTGCGGTGGCCGTCATCTGTATTCACACCAGCAAGATCATAGTGAAATGCCTGTACGAAGATGATGCTTGTGGAAACCAAATTAGAGTTCGAAACAGTTATGCTGATATCGCTGATAGAGTCTGGGGAGCTAGGTTCGGGAGATATCTGCTAATTTTCGCACAACTAATAGAACTATCTATGACCTGTATCCTCTACATTCTTGTTAGTGGAGAACTCCTTCATGGTTGCTTCCGGTCACATGACGTGAGTCTTGCCACATGGGTAATCCTCAGCACCGTGCCACTTCTTCCATGTGCGTTTTTACGAAGTATTCGATGTGTTTCTAACCTGAGCTTCTGGTGTACTGTTACTCATATGATAATAAACGCAATCATCATAGTATATTGCTTTACTCAAGTGTCCCAGTGGCATTGGGACCAAATGCCAGTGAAGATCAACATTTGGGAGTTTCCGATCTCTCTTGGGATTGTTGTTTTCAGTTACACATCACAAATATTTGCACCAAAGTTAGAAGGCAACATGAGAAATCCCAAACAATTCAAGCATATGTTATATTGTACTCACATCTCTGCTGCAATCTTCAAAAGCGTATTCGCATACGTTTGCTTTTTAACCTGGGGAAGAGAAACGATGGAAGTTATTACCAACAATTTGACACAGCCTGGATTCAAAATCACTATAGATCTCATACTGGTTCTAAAAGCTCTACTTTCATTCCCTCTTCCATACTATTCAACTGTTGAAATTATTGAACAAGAATGTTTCAATTTGAAGAGCCCATTTCTTTTTTCGTCATGCGCTGGTGATCATCACGCGTTAAAACCGTGGACTGTTGTCCTACGACTCCTTCTTGTCATCGCAACTATGTTGCTGGCCGTGTTTTTACCACATTTTTCAATACTTATGGGATTAGTCGGAAGTTTTACGGGGACGATGCTGTCTTTTGTTTGGCCATGTTACTTCCATCTCCAAATTCATGGCCATAGATTGCTCTGGTATGATAAGCTTATAAACTGGGTCATCATTTTGCTCGGGGTTGCTATTGGTGGAATCGGCATGTACTATTCTGGAATCGCCCTCCATCACGCAATGGAGGGTCCATCCAGGGCAAACACTTTCAACAGTACACAACTGAGTGAAACATGATACAGACTTGAAAACAAACGTGTCGCAATAGATCTTGCCAATTTTGGTCAGAAACAAGCTGTGTGAGTAGATTGGTCTTTTGTGCAATATTACTCAATAGGCCCTAATAGTTTGTTTCTTTGTTTATATGTTGTTTAACGTCCCTCTCGAGAATTTTTCACTCATATGGAGACGCCACCACTTGCCGGTGGAGAGCTGCAAATTTTGTCCTATACTCGGCACTTACGGCCATTGAGCAGTGAGGGATCTTTTTCGTGCCAGCACCTACTGCGACACGGGACCTCGGTTTATACGGTCTCATCCAAAGGACCGGTCTCCACGTCCCACAGTGGGATTCGAACCCGCGACGTAAGGATCATCTCCTTACTTCGCGACTCTAGAGCAGATGCTCTAACCACTGCGCCACGCGGGCGACGGCCCTAATAGTAATAATATTCATAATGATGGTGATGATGATAATCACATTAATAAATATATCTAATTATCCTTAGATTTTTTTCTTCGATTTTTAAAATACTTTTCTCTACTTTAGGTTAAAGCTCTTTGTCCTTCCATCATTTCTCGAGCTTTTACTTCGTTAATTCGCTTTCAAAAGTTCCCTAGAATTCCAATGGAGTACTTGTTCGTGTTATTTTTGTTCAGTTTAGGTATCCCTAACCAAACAAGCATTCTGAGAGTATTGCATTAGCAATACTAGTCCCCTACCGGCAAGTGTAATCTGGTTCCCGTTAAGAATTGAAAATGCCATAATTCCGTCAAAAAACAATGAAGCGGGACGACATGCAAACTTGATATATAGCTAATCAGGGTAAAGTCACATAAAGTCACATACCAAAAATCAGCTCAATATCTGAAAGCGTTTAGAAGAAAATTGCGGAAACCCCTAAAAATTGAAAAGGCCGTAATTCCGTCAAAAATCAATGAAGCGGAACGAAATGCAAACTTGATCTGTAACTCATCAAGATACACTCACCAAAAATCAGCTCAATATCTGCAAGTGTTTAGGAAAAAAGTGCAGAAAACCAAATGGGACAAACTGACAGACAGACAGACGGACAGACAGCTAGACAGACAGACAGACGGACAGACTCAGAGGAGACCTAGAGTCCCCTCCGGTTTCACCGGTAGGGGACTAACAAGCATTCTGAGACTTTGCATTAGCAATACTAGTCCCCTACCGGCAAGTGTAATCTGGTTCCAATTAAAAATGCTGTAATTCCGTCAAAAATCATTGAAGCGGAACATAATGCAAACTTCATCTGTAACTCATCAAAATACACTCACATACCAAAAATCAGCTCAATAACTGCAAGCTGTTAAGCGTTTAGAAAAAAGGTGCGAAAAACCCTTAAAAATTAAAAAAGCCGTAATTCCCTCAAAAATCAATGAAGCGGAACGAAATTCAAACTTGATCTGTAACTCATTAATATACACTTACATACCAAAAATCAGCTCAATATCTGCAAGAATTTAGGAAAAAAGTGCGGAAAACTAAGTGGGACAGACAGACAGACGGACGGACAGACTCAGAGGAAACCTATAGTCCCCTCCGGTTTCACCGGTAGGGGACTAATAAAGCTGAATTGACAATTCATATGAGTTTGGCCATGCCATGTCCTTCATGCAAGGTTATATGTATCAGGGATTTATCAGCCTATTTTGGGAAACGCCATTTTTCGGGAATTGGGAAAAAATTATCGGCTATATGATGAAATTGGGAAAAATTAAAAAATGTTGCTTAAATCATGTATTCAGGTGTAATTCATTTAACATTTCAATATGAACTCTAATTTGGGCCACCAAACTGACAATTAAATATATGATCCAACTTCATACAAGATCATGCAATTATGAATAATAGACTAATAAAAGTAAAATTTACTTCAAATGAGTATAAAGTGTTTATACAACTTAGGGTAGTACATGTGTGTTTGAGATTCCAATTTAGGTCATTATAGAATCTGTTTCTGGAGATTATAAACCTCCTGCAAAAAATTATAGTAAGTACACATTTTCTCAAAGTCCTCTTTTAAAATGTATTAATGCATTGATAATATATTTTTCTATTTAAATAATGCCTACAGTCCTTTCAATTCACTCATAGATCAATTGAGTAGGTAGAAATAACTTAGTAAATCTATATAATTACACAATATCACCATTTTCAGAAGAACAGAGGAAATTCGGATTAAAAGTTGGCGATGTTTTTACAGTGTTTTTAAACATGTGTTACGACTGTAGCTTTGCTAAAGGAGTTAAATAGATGAAAATTACAGACAATCTGACAAATTTATTGTGTGTTTTTCCAAGATAATTAAATATAAAAGCATTGTTCACTAATAGGGAAAAAAATACTGCCAAATTGGGAAAAACTGAACTCATTTTCAGTTGGGAATGGGGCCGAATTTCGCCCCCTGAGAAAGTACTGATTAATCCCTGTGTATGTATTCTAAACTTTTGATAAAGAAAATATTCTCCAACATCTATATCTTCGAGGTTACAAAGAAGAATAAAGATGTTTTTTGTGTCCTGATTTATGTATTATCCCGATTTCCACGTTTTGATTAGGCATTTCATGATTTTTTTTTACTACAGCAGAACAAACTTGCAGCGAACATGCTTAAGATGAATTAACGCATACAACAAAGTGATTTTAATATTCCCGCTAGATTATAAACATGTTATGAACTTATTGGATAAAACGTTTATAACAGAGCAAAACTGTTCGTCCCTGGCACATCTGTAGACATTTTTTGTCCGGAAATGATCTCTGAAACTATTTAATATTTTTCTTCAGAACACTTTAGAATATGCCATTTGAACCTATCATGCCTATGCAACTTTTATTTTTAGACTGATTTGATAAAAAAAAAAAGGTAAATATGACTTAAGATTTCATTGAAAATAACTTCTTTACATGAATAAGAGAAATGAAATTCTGACATAACTGTAACCAAGAAACGTAAGAAGCTCATGCGAGGTTGTCCCAGAAAAAAGGCGAACTTTTTAAATATTTCATAAACTACTCGAACAAAATAATTAATTTTTTGCACATTGTTATGAAATTCCCTATACGACAGCCAACTACTTACTGCCAACTGCTCACTGCTTACTGCCAACTACCAGCTGCTCACTGCCAGCTGCTCACTGCTTACTGACAACTGCCACTGCTTATAGATGATGCCTATTTTGATATCTTAATGTCTTTAATACGCATACTTGAATAAATCCTATGATGGCAAGAAAAAGAACTACGAACGCTAGTATTGTTCGGCTGTTTTCAAAATTTAACATATTTGAATGATTTTTTAATATTTATATATATATTTAGATGAATTTTCATAAAACATAACTTATTAGGGAGAGTAAAGAGAGTTAAGTCTATAATTTTGGTAAAACTAGTGTTTATCACTATACAAGTCAAAGGAACACGGATATCTATTTTCACCCCCCTCCCTTGTGAAACAACAATTCATTTTTACAGGTATAATGAATTGCTATTTCACAAATCCATAGCAAAGGTTTTGTTGTTTCAACGGGGGTATGGGGGGGGGGGGGGGTCAGACTAAAAACAGCAAAAATAGTCACAAGTATTTTATTACCAATTTCAAATGAGAAAAATAAATAATCTGATACAATGTATGTTGAATTCTACATAAGCTAAACAAATGGAGAGATTTTTTTTAATTTTTGTAATAATTGTATTATTCTTGCTATCATAGGGTTTATTCAACCATTTGTAGTAGAGATATTAAAAACAAGAAAACAGGCAGTATCATCTATGAGCAGTGGCAGTTGGCAGTAAGCAGCTGGCAGTTGGCAGTAAGCAGTTGGCTGTCGTATATGGAATTCCATAGCAGCGTGCAACAATTAAGCTGCTAACAATTAAATTAAGATTATATATATATATATATATATATATATATATATATATATATATATATATATATATATATATATATATATAATTTTTGTAAGTGGCTGCTCTCTTTAAAGGAATTGCTGAATGCATCATTGCAGAATTAATATAAAATAGTATAAAAAATATATATTGTGTGCATTTATTGCATTATTGCTTTCTATAATTAATTAATTATAATTTATTCATTCTGTTGTTGAATTTGTTTATTCATTGGAAGAAAGCAACAAATTCAATCATGTGCAGATAACTCTGCAAATGAATTAATATTATATATCAACAATTAATGAAGTAATTTGTAAATTAATTCAGAATTAAAAATTATCTTGAATACTTGAAGATATCTCTAATTGAATTGTTGTGTAATGCATCAAATAATTTGATATCTTAAATTCAAAGGACTAATTTGAAAAAAAGATATATGTATCTTAATTGATTAATTTAATCAATTGGCTACAATAGAAAGGAGGGGAAATTAAAGGAAGGAAAAAAACCCTCAATTTCATTTACGAGTACTGCACAAAGTAAAGATTAACAGTATATGTCAGTGTCAAGTTTGATAACTATAGATTTCCCAAAGTCATTGCAAAATACTCTCTCGGATCGCTGCAATACAGAGAAAAAAAACCCTGGATTTATGTTAGTTACTGTTTATTTGTTATCACATCATGAACATGAAGAATTTTAGCAGTTATGTTTTATATTTGATAAGTATATAATGTTCCAATAACATTTCACTATAAAACTCTCTAAGATGGCTGCAGTGAAAAAAGTACTCAGATTTACATGTTATTCAATGTTGTTTAATTGTTGTCATAATTTGTGAAGATTTACATGAATATTGAATTTACATGTTATTACAGTACATGTACTTTGAAAAGAATATTTGAAAATAATGGCTACTGTTATACATATAACTCTGAAAAGATTTTAGGAAGCAGATGTCACTTATTATAAGTAGTACATCATACATTGTATACGAATTGAAATGTCAAAACAAATAGACATAAAACACACATATAATGAATTAAGATGACCAGTCTCTTCACTACACTTGATGCCTACATAAATGGTTATTAAA